TGAAACAAACGCACCTTCGGACTTCCGTTGCAGCCAAATGACTAGAAAGTGGTTTCAATTTCTTGGCTTCTATTTACAATCAATGTATGCAATTAAAAGAAATTTAAATGACAGGGAAAACGCTTGGCTGCAAAATTTTCGGCGTGTATTCCGGTGTTTCCTTTTTTCTTGGAATATGTCAAATAACTGTTAATAATTATGTCATAATGTTGCAAAATGTGGTAGGGATAATTGAAGTCATAAGTTGCAAAAGAATGACTTGCCGAATGTCTAGATTGGGAAGGTCAGACATTTATTGTCTTTGTGTATTTTCTCGATTTCTGAACTTGTTGCAATTATTGAACGTTTCTTGAACAAACGTTGGATTGACGTTCCATATGATATTGTGTCAACTTCAGCTGACGTATAAGTTCAAAAATGTGGTAGAGATAGTTGAAGTCATAGGTTGCAAACCAAGTACTTACCTAATGTATATATCGAGAAGGTCAGGCGATTATTGTTTTTGTTGTAGGGTGTAATCCGTGATCTAAGGGTTCACCTAGAAAACGAAAAGAATTTGAATCATCTTATGATATGTGATTTGTAGTGGTGCCTATTGTTCTACATTCCTTACTAGTGATACTCCGTTCTCTAAATATAGCCATGCACAACAGATGTTAGTATTGGAATTACGAATATCAACGAGATGACCTGGCACATGAGATGACCTGGTACTCGAGATGATATAGGGATGAGTTAAGATAGTATTTTCAAAACACAGCATATAAATCTATTAAAATAAACTAAGTAAATATTTCTATAGATAATTAAATAATAAAAACCGTTCCCGGGGGAAAGTACGAAAACCGAACCCCCTTTAGAAGTATTCGAATCTGATGTATCGTGAGGTTTGAGTATATGTTTTATAGTACCAAATCCGTCTTTTTAACTCTTCATCTGAGGAAGGTTCCCTCAGTCTCATTCTTCGCCGAACTTTTCTAAAATGCTGGTTGGCTGTTATGAAACCGTCGATGGATATGATTTCGCTTTGACTTATATTCAAAATTAAACCTTCAATCAACCCAAATTTTTGTAAAGGGGTTTTAGTCTTGTGCTTTCCTCCATAGAACAGTTTTTATTATTTAATTATGTATAGAAATATTTAATTTATCCTAATAAATATACTGTGTGCTGTGTTTTGGAAGAAGATAAATTAAGTAAATTAGCATTTTGGTATTTTATAGTCTCCTTTAGTCTCACAGTAACAGATGTAAAACGGTGAGGTTACCCGCACAACGCACTTAGCGAGAACTGCAATCAAATTATTTTGTTAGTACCGTCTTAAACTATGCGGCTCAAAATAATTTCCACATTTTGTGTAGCGCACGAAATACAGCTGGTTCAATTATTGTAAGGGCTGATACTCTGCTTCATTCTAGTATAATATATTTCATTTTGTTTTACAGATTCAATAACCGCGTGCTACATCCACATGGCACTTGATTAGAAGATAGATGTCATCAAACTCCAAACCAAATTCACATCCAGCTACTAATTCAAAGGCTCATCTGAAAGCCGACGAGTTAATAGATCACAACCAGTTTGGGGTTGCTATTCAAAGAGGAAACACGAATGGTTCTAATGAAGTCGATGATCCTTCTTCGACTGAGAATGGAAATGATAGGAATAATAACCATGGTGGTACTTATTCTTCGGACCACGCACATGATATTAACGGGGTGGAAACCTCATCTTATACAAATAGAGAAACTTATGATGTACCTGTTCCTCCTCCAAACTACCCCTTTAACGACCACTCGCCTCAAACTTATTCTTCCAAACATACACGTTCAACTAACGATGGAGAGGGCTCATCTTATACAGATAGAGAAGGACATAGAATACCAGTTCTTTCTCCCAGCTATCTTTCCAAGGCACAGGCATTCGACCGTATGAATATAATGTCAGAAATAGATCCCGATTACAAGTTTAAGGAGCTTTTCAAAAGAGATATCAAATCCCAAATTTCCTTTGCCTTCGAGGATTTTGTGTTCAAGAAGGACAATCTTTTCTGGCAATCTGCAGCCCTTCAAATAGGGTTAAATGTATTCATGGGAATCAAAGAATACTTTCTTAACCCTGACACATTTGTCTTAACTCCAGAAACTGATATCCCGGCATTGTGTCTTTTTCCTCACCCTGCCACCCCGAAGTACAGTTTCATGTATCTAGAGCTAGTGGACACCCTATTGACGGACAAGATGTTATCATATGGATCTCTTGCTGAGAAGTTTACCAAGCCTGCCGGCCTTATTCGGATGAAGGACATTATACAATATATCGATAGGTGCAAATACCAACAAAGGCTCAATCAAAGATATCCTTTAATGGATCGGATAAACGTTTTAAGGTACTCTCTTGACTCATAACCAGTTTGTTACTTGAGCAAGGGTGCTTGGCAGATTACATGTCCAATAGATACTTTTATCACAAAGCTTGATTTCCGCATTATTGTCAACTATTATTATTTAGATAAAGTTACCGGAAGGGCAGCTCTTTGTTGGATCCTTAGTGGGGAGTATATGAAGTGGAGTAGTGACCCAGATGGATATGTATTCATACGTCCTGGTGCAGTGGCTCAAGCATTGGCAGCTGATCCTCAAGTTTCCCGAGCTTCTAATGGAACTTTCAAAACTGGTGTTCGCAGACCCGCAAACGATCAATCGAATGAAGTTGATACTCTTCCAAAAGCAGAAACTGACCAAATTGCCATTACTAACAACGGAAATGGAAATGCCAATGACAGCAAGAAGAAATCCAAGAAGAAAGGCGATCGAGTTGAAAAGAAAAAGAAAAAAAGTAGTAGAAAAAGGAAGCTTATAGAATTTCAAACAGGTGACGGAATGCAACAATCTGTTCCGAATCAAACCGAATTCAGAGGTCATGCACAGGGAGAACTATAATAGCCTTCATGAATATACAAACGTTGCTTTTCAGAGAAGTGGGAGCTAGACCAATGAAATATGCTAGTTTACCAAGAGGTGTCGACGTTCTTGCCCAAAACCATAACCATTATTAAAGCAGAAACCTATAGAGGCTCTAGGTAAACTCCCGCCCAGGCGATATTTACATATAAACTTGAAAGAGAAGACGCCGGGGATGCTATTCAGAAGCTCTTCGAAATTAACAGAACTCAGATGCAGATCAGACGAGTGTACCGTATGTGCACATTAGGTTTATCCCACATTGGAACTGTTATAGAGCTGATATAAATTATCCTATTTTTCAAAGAATTCCCAGATATGATAGTAAATAGAAATCGAAATGAAGCATTTGAGTTTCATTGTTACAGGTAAACAGGCAGCAAGGTTGTCAGGCAATAACTGTCATTAATTAACCATTTTATAAGTGTATATAAGTACATAGTTTCTATACAGAATTATTATTTAGTGTAAGCTAATCTGGTAGCATTTCTTGCTTGTTGAACCATGAATTCATCTGCCAAAACCAAAGCAGTCATAGCTTCCACAATAGGAACGGCTCTTGGAGTGACACTTGGGTCATGTCTACCTCTAGCGGCTAAAACACCTTCTTTACCTTCATAAGTAGCAGTTTCTTGTTCTTGACTTATAGTAGCAGCAGATTTAAAAGCGACTGAGAAATAAATATTTTCACCATTTGAGATCCCACCTTGAATACCTCCAGAGTTATTAGTTTTTGTTCTTAATCTACCTGCTGATTCATCAAAATAAAATGGATCATTATGTTGAGAACCTGGAATGGCAGTACCGGCAAATCCAGAACCAAATTCAAACCCTTTAGTGGCAGGTAATGATAACATAGCATGTGCTAATTTTGCTTCCAATTTATCAAAACAAGGTTCACCTAAACCAATTGGACAATTTCTAACTACACAAGTAACAACCCCACCAATAGAATCATTAGCATCACGATATTTTTCAATAACTTTAACCATATCGTCTCTAACATTTACATCGGGACATCTTATAGGACCACAATCATCTACATCTTCTCTTGTAATTGTATTCAAAATTTGTTGGAAAGTTTCATCTTGTGGATTTCTATTCATGGAAATTTCACCAATTGAAGAAACAAACGCAACAATTTCAACCCCATTAGCTAATTTCAAAATCTTTTCTGCAATTGCACCAGCAGCCACACGACCAATGGTTTCACGAGCAGACGATCTACCACCTCCACTGGAGGATTTAGTCCCATATTTCTGAATATAGGTCCAATCGGCATGACTTGGTCTTGGATATAAATCAGTTTCAGAATAGTCTCCAGGACGATGATCTTGATTCTTGACAAGCATTCCAATGGGTGAACCTAATGTAACACCATTTTCGGTCCCACTTTGGATTTCTACTTGATCTTTTTCATTTCTTGGGGTGGATAATTTAGATTGTCCTGGTCTTCTACGAGTTAATTGAGGTTGAATATCTGCTTCTGTTAATGGAAGCCCGGGCGGGACACCATCGACTATACATCCTACTGATTTACAATGGGATTCTCCGTATGTTGTAACTCTGAATACACTTCCGAATGTGGACATTTCTGTTTCTCTATCTTGGTGAAGATGATTTGAATTAACTGAATTAATTCAAGAAACTTTTTTTTTTAATCATCAGACAATTTTTCTAACTGAAAAATTCAATAATGAGTCAAAAGAAACAAAAACAGAAAGAAAAAATAAAACGGCCCTGTTAAAGGCCCGGTCGTGTACTTCTCGGTTCCAGAATTTACTAAAAGTTGCAAATTTATAAACCACAATTTCGCCATTTGATTAGAAATACGATGTCTATTATAAATATATAAATATATGCTAAACTAAATCTTCAGAGGCTTCTTCTTTTCATTCCATTGTTTGATATTCCCCATAGCCAACTCAGCCAAATATGGATACATACGAGAATAACCTGAAGCATTTGCAGAACTGGCATTACCCAATTTAACTCTCATAGCAATCCCTTGACTAATAACACACAATCTTAATAATCCAAATACATGACCGATAATCCATAAATCAGTAGGATTATTCTTTGGATCTTCTGGATTCCAAGTGATTAATTTTTCATATTTAGCTAATTGGGCATATAAAAATGTTTGAGACTCTGGGTCTTCAACTCCCATATCTGTCTCTTGGGGATGATAGAGCATACGATTTAATTTATTAGGTAACAGGAATGGTTGGAAGAAATTGGATAAATCAAATAATGGATTTCCAATAGTACATAATTCCCAATCTAAAACACCACAAACTTTCTTAGTGATTGGATCAAATAAAACATTATCAATTTTTAAATCTCCATGGATTAATGTAAGTTTTGTAGGATCTTTAGGAGCATTAGATAATAACCATCCAGTAATATCTTCGAAATTTGGAATTGGAGCAACATGTTGAGATTGTGATTTATGAATTTGTGATAATGTCTTCATTTGTCTTGTAAAATATAAAGTTTGTTTTAATTTAGTTACATTTTGAAATTGAGGGAACTGTTCCTTTGGTAAATATTGAATCAACTTTTCTGCATCTAATAAATGAATACTAGCAATAGTTTCAATTATAGAATCCCAATATAATTTCCCATCTTCTGGAGAAATTCCTGGCATACTTGGATTTTTAATCTGAATACCATTAACAAAATCCATAATATAAAACACATATCCGATAATACTTTCATCTTCACATAATAAATGAACTCTTGGAACAGGAACTGGAAGTTTACTACCAGAATTCAAAATATTGATTGAATTTATCATAAAGAATTCTCGTTCAACAGCATGAGCTGATTTAGAAATTAATTTTGCATTTGGACTTGGTTTTCTTCTTAATACATAATTGTTATTTTGAGAATCAGTAATCATATAAGTTGGATTTGATTGTCCAAATGTAAATTGTTGAATTTTTAATTCATGGAAATGAGATAAATCAGCTGGGTTATGACCTAAGGTAATGCCTGGGGCTTGAGAAAGATTTGAACAAAGAAATTGGGAAAGTTTCTTGGTATCTATTGGAGATCTTACTGCAGTTAATTCTGGTGCTGACATCGTTTATTACTTTCTTGTATAGTGACTAAGAGAAAGAAAGTGATTTCGAAGCTGAAATGGAAATTAACCTTGATTTAAATAATTTATGGCTTGTGAAAAAAAAATATGTGGGGTCTGTATTCTTTAGAACGGATATTAAATTTATCACCAAAATCCATACTGAGAAAAAGTATAACCGAGGTTTTGAATTTTCCATTGTTCTATTGATCGGATACAAACACAAACACTTTGTGACCTATCCATGAACCATTTATATATAAACTTCTATGGATATGCACTTTAGTGATAATTGTCCATTTTTTAGATTATGCATATTAAAGCACTTCCCTTTATACCGAATTATACCGTGGGCTCAATCTAGTCTGGTACTACTAGAGGAAAGCTCATACTAGAGATGGAGTGAAAAATCGCACCAAGCCATAGGAAAGACCCTGAATAGGTCAGTGGTACAAAGTAAACAACCAATATTAAACTTCCCAATCTTTCATTCTATTATAAAAATCTGTTTTTTTATTCATCACAATTAATCATTACTATATAACCATTAAAAAAAAACCACAAATTTTATCGAAAAACACAACTACTCTAAATATTTTAATCTCTACTCTTTCTCTCTTACATAAATAGACCTCCCTTCTCTTTCTCATTTTCAGACACACAGCTTTCTCTCTTTATCATTCTCAGAGACATCTTTCGCTCACATTATATCTCTCTCGCATAGCATCTCTCTCATTCGCTGTCGCTCGGTCGTTCGATCGTTCGTCTACTTCACATTCAACGAATAATAATTATATATCCCCCTCTGACTAAACTCCACCGGCCAACAATCCTCCTTCATATTTCTATTCCGATATCCATTCAAATTATAATATCCAATCGAACAATTCACTTTTCTTGCCGCATATTTCAAAAACCCGGGTTTCTTAACATTCGTAACAATTTTATTCCCCGTTTCCAAATCATAATAAACTAAATTCGATTGCATGGCCGCCGCATTACCATTCCCATTTAGGATTGATTTATATTCCGGGAGCCGCCAACACTAAAATATATAGGTTCTAGAGGCTGGAAGTAACAGTATTTTAATCCAGATTTGGGGTGGGGCTAATTCTTCGATGTATGAAGTTTGAATGGGGGAGATTCTGTTATAGTCTCCATTGGAGGTGAAGTCGTAGAGAATCTTATAGTCGAATTCAACTGCGACTAGGGAACTATTGAAGTTTATTTTTAGGAAGGAGGGGAGGTTGAATCTGGTGATGGTTTTTATACCGGTGATATCGAGATACATGATTTTATTTTCCTTCATGTATTCATTCAAATCTTCGAGTTTTAAGTTTGCATGGGAGATGTTTAGACTTAATAATTCCGGGAATCGGTTTTTGATTGTGATTAGGCATTTGAAATTCACTGGCATTCCTCCAAGGTTTAAATATGCCAATTGTGGGGCATTGAGATGTTTTAAGGTGTATAATAAATAAATGTCAGAAAGGGGGCTAACGACATTTGAATCAATTTGTAAATTAAGCCATTCTAAACTTCCTTTACATACTGCTGGATGACTAACTAAGAAATTAATTAAATCTTTAGTTGTCAATTGTGAACATCTAGCTAATGATAAATGAGTCAATCTTGTCAGACGAGGGATTTCAAGTAAGATAGTTGAAGTGATTGAAGTATGATTTAAATCTAATCTTTGTAAATGAATTAATCTGGGTAAGATTTTTGCAAATACATCTGGATGTAAATTTGAACAATCATGAAGGGAAAGTTTTGTAATTGTTAAATCTTGATTGATTTGTAATGCATCAAAAGCTTTTGCAAATGCTTCACTACTTGCTCCACAAAAGTCTAATGCTTTTATTTTGGGTAATTTATTAAATAATAAATCCAATACAACAATATCCATATCATCTTGAATATTTTCCAGGGCTAAGAATTCTAATAAATTAGGTGTCATTTTCAAAGCCTTTGATATAGTTTTTGAAGTCACCATTTGAATTTCTTGATTCATCCTACCAGTACGTCCTAATCCAATAGATGTAAATTGTTGAAAATCCATAAATTCAACATATTTCCCAATAATTGGATTACTGTTTAAATTATGTAAGAATTTATCAAATGAATGAGGACGATTAAAAATCGTATATTTATATAAAAAACATAATGATAAATGATGGAATTTTTTTGATAATAATGGAATTGTATTGGCGAAATTCTCTAAATTGGAATTAATTGAAGAAATATCATGATCAACATAAACATATTCAATAATTCGATATAAGATTTCCAAGGGAAGTGATAAAAGGGGTGAAAACTGTTCCTCCAGTTCTCCTATAACTTTCTCTACAGGTACTTCCTCGTCTTGCATAATTACATCATCAATTGATTCAGTCTTGGGAGGAAGTGTACCCACCGAAGAAGAAGGAGATTCATCCACAATATAATCTTCATTATGAGGGTGTCGATATTCATCATATGATTCATTAGAATATCGTGATTCATTGGAGGTGATGGGTGATAAATAAAATGTAGAAGGATATGGATGAGGATTATCTAATGGAGATGTGATTGGTTGTAAAGCTAATCCGGAATCCGCACTATCCGCAGGCAACATTTCTTCATCATGATAATCAGCCAGTGTAGTTGAATTTTCTGCTTTTACCTGCAGCATTTCATCTTGATTCAATGTAGGAACACTAAGATGACGCCGTATGGAAGCAGAGTACAGAAGTGGGAATGATGGGTCCTGAGTCGATACATCAATATTATTACGATGATGATGGTGGTGATGGTGGCGTTGGTTGTCATCCGGTGGGAATGATGAATCATTAGTTGTATTAACTGAAGAACTTCTTCTGGAATCTAATTGTGATAATTGTTGACCCATTATATGACGATAAGAACTTAGCTTCTGTTTAAATCTGTTTGTTAAATTAGAAGTTGACAAAGATGATTTTGGTGTTGATTGTTCTTGTGATGGTGCTGGCTGTTGTTCTTGTGCGGTAGAGTTGTCTATTGGTTCAAACGAAAGTAAGGATTGATAAGAATATGACGATCTTCTGATTCTATGATGATTAGGAGTCACTGGCTGTCTAAGTTGTTTTGAATGTGGTTGGTTTGTATGGAATGCCAAGGTATTTGGTGGTGTCTGTGGTGATGGTGAATTGAGATTTGTCTCCTTGTGGTGAGAGATCATTTTTTTTTTGTAATGAGCTTCTTCTTTGTATTATTTTATTTTTATAACGGGAAATCGGGAACGAACAAGCGAAAGGATTAAATTTATAAATTATAAAATGCCCTGCGAAATTTGTCAAGTATCAAATTAAAGAATGTTCTTATAAATATATAGATTATTTATATACAATTAATATAAAAAGGGAATTGGTGGTTAAAAGTATGATTAATTAAGAAAAACCAGAATTTATGGGGTAAGTTTTATATATTTTTATATGCAAAAGTATAAATTGATTAGTGATCATTCGTTCATACAGTTCCTTTTTTTTGGTTTAATATAAATTTTAACGCCGTACAAGCCTAAAACATCAACAACAAGAAGAACCACGACGACAACCAAAAAGGAGAATAAGAATACAACTACAACCACAGTTAACTTACTATTGCAACCACAAGAATAAGTAAGAAAATGTCAGACAAGGAATTTTAAATGTTAAAAATAATTTAACTTGTAACTTTACTTTACTTTACACTTTCCTTAAATTGAGAATAGTATCAGTAGCATATGTAAAGTATTTGTGCAGCAATTATAACAGATAAACAGTATACTCATTTGTTTATATAAAGATATAGATGAAATCTAACAATCTGTAACTTACAAATTGTTAAACCAAAAAAACTGGTTCAATAAGATTTCCAGACCTCGACCTATTTTGCAGTAAGGCGGTATGCATAGAAAAAGAAGTACACCTAGGCATTATTTTTTCTTTGTCTTTTTAATACCGAGCTACTACTATTCACTAACAAATCTATAAATGGAAAAATGTTTACCCCCGTATTTTTCCAGGATTTTAAACTTTAAATTAAGATTTATAAATTACATTAGAACATACAATATTCCTTCTACCACATTCTTTCTTAACACTTTGAGTTATACAGTATCTTTTATAACTTTTGATTATAAAACATTGTGAATTTCTACTAGAGTAATCTCATTTTCTTGAATGTATTCTTGGCAGCGTTTCATTTAAACAAGCTCGTTCCATTGTCTCTCTCGGCCGCGCGCACCGTGGTCAGACTAAAATTTGCAGCCTGACCAGAAACTGAAATCGTTAATTCCAGGCTACTCGTAGGAAATGTTTATGTACAGTCAATGTCACTTGAAGGTTCTTGGGTGTTACGCAACTAAGCGACGACTATTACAGAGCAAGCAATACCAGTCCAGAATGGTATTTTTTCAGGATCATGTTTGCGTTTTTGCTTCGATTCGATCGAGAAAATCGCGATACGTAGTCATGTATCACGAATCATAAACAAGGCTGAACAAAACTTGATGTGCGTGACTTCACTACTTGACATTGGCAGCAGCTCCAGAAGCGGGCTTTTCTAAGCAAATAATTGTAACTGTTGGATAGTGATGGCGGGGGTTGGTGGGGGAATAATGACGGGGGGTGATCATCGTGTATTCCCCACAAAAAAAAAGGTCGTAATTAGTTGCTTAAAGATTCTAGATCGTCTCATGGACTCTTTTTTTTCTTTCTATTTAAAGTTGTAATGAGTTCAACAAGGTTTGATATAACCATGGTATCCATTAGATAGATTCGTTATATGTCACAAAGATGCATTGATACCAAACTGTAGATATAATTAGTTGTAGATTTTGATAATTCTGTTGCATAGAAAAAGGGTCTCGTTGAGATTCAATGATGTAATTAATAACGATAAAAAAAGCCACCACCATTTTCCTTATCCAATTATATTATTTTAAACCGAATCCATTCATCCCTCATTTCATATTTGAGCTATTTTTCCTTTATGAAGTTTAAATAAAAACCCTCATATTTCACTTTTAAGCCCAAACTTTGTTTCAAACAAAGTTCCATTTATCCTCCCCTCAATTTCCCCCAGCCAAGCATTGAAAAGAACAAAAAAAAGACTCATTTCTGCATCTCTTCTTCTTTTTCTTGTACTTTTCATTTCACTTGCTGAAAATTTTTCAATTTAGTCAATTGCAATTCATATATAAACCCAATAGCAATTGAGTCAAGAGACTATTCAACCGTTTTTGGGAAAAGGCCAATTTCACAAGAAACAATGTCAGCTCCTTATATTCATGTAGAATCAGACTCGGAAGAGTCAGTACAAGAATTTGAAAGATTAGAATCAACCTTACCTCCATCGTTAAGAAAATCTGCATCTTCCTTATTAGAAGCAATTCAAGCTACCCCATCACCAGCACACACTCCTGCCGGTAGTAGTCAACCTTTCCAACCTCATCATCCATCTCATTTGAAACAACCTCAACCCCAACATGTTGGACGTGAAAATAGATTCGCACCAGGTCATGCAAATAATTCCCTTTTTGGTAGAGCTCCATCTCAAACTCCAAATCTTAGAGATACTTCACTTAGACAAACACTTATTTCAAAATTATCAAAATCTGAACATGGTAGATCCAGTTCTCCCGTGCCATTACCAAGACCTAGATTTGATTTAGAAGTTTTTAAACCTGCTATCAATACCAAACAATCTTCAACTGGGGTTTTATGGGCTACTGAACGTGCACAAGAATATGGATTTGATTCTGAAAATGTCGGTGATTGGGCTAATCTCGGACAAGGTGCTCCAGAACACGGTGACACGATCCCAGGATCTTTCATTAGACCAAAACATATCCCTGTCCCTGATTATTCAAAAGAATATGCTCCAACTGCTGGTGTAAAACCCCTTCGTCAAGCAGTTGCTAATTATTATAATGAAACTTATCGAAAAGGAAAAGATTCGCAATATACTTATAAAAATGTCTGTATTGTACCTGGAGGAAGAGCCGGTTTGACAAGAATTGCATCTATTATAAGTGATTGTTATCTTTCATTCTTCTTGCCTGATTATACCGCCTATGCCGAAATGCTTTCATTATTCAAGAATTTCGCTCCAATCCCGGTCCCATTGAAAGAAGCCGATAATTATGAAATCCATCTCAAGATTATCAAAGAAGAATTAACAAGAGGTATTAGTGCCTTATTGACTTCCAATCCTCGTAATCCAACTGGGAGATGTATGGAAAGATCTCAATTGGAAAAATTACATGAAATGTGTCGGGCTAAATGTTTGTTAATCATGGATGAATTTTATTCCCATTATTATTATGATGATGGATGTACTGGATCATCAATCAGTTCGGCGGAATATATTGAAGATGTGGATGTTGATCCAGTCTTGATTCTTAATGGATTAACCAAAGCTTTCAGATTACCTGGATGGAGAATTTGTTGGATCTTAGGGCCAGAAGAATATATTAATGCCCTTTCTTCTGCAGGATCTTTCTTGGATGGTGGGTCGAATGCTCCTTTCCAATATGCTGCTGTTGATTTCTTGGAACCTTTGAAAGTTAGGAATGAAATGAAGGCCTTACAACTTCATTTCAAGATGAAGAGAGATTATATTCTTGATAGATTTAGAAAAATGGGATTTAAATTTGAAGAACGTCAAATTCCAAATTCAACCTTTTATTTATGGTTAAATTTAAGTCATTTACCAGGGAAATTAAGTAATTGTTTAGGATTTTTCCATGAATGTTTACATGAACGAGTAATTGTTGTTCCCGGGTTTTTCTTTTTGATCAATCCTCAGAATTTAAGTCATTTAGAAGAAGTTATTTGGTATAATTATGTGAGAATTAGTTATGGTCCTGAATTCCATCATTTGGAATTAGGTATGGATGGAATTGAAAGAATCTTGGCTAGATTTGGATGTTTACCTTATGAACTTGAACAAAAGGCATAGACTTTTTCGTCCTCCTTCTGAATTGTTTTCTACTTGTATTTTATTTGTCTTTTAGTTTAGTAAATGTAAAAATAAAATTAAGTTGTTATTATATTGAAAACTCATAACTAGTGCTTTGGCGGCACGGCTGAGATATGCTCCAAGGTACATATTCGTATAATCAGACTCAGAACGAGGTTTAGAATAATTAGTACGACTACTTTATATATGTATATAGGACGAGATCTTCAGTCCCCGATGTTACAGTCGTCAATGGCATCCTTGCTCGTGGCTTCTATAAAGCTCTAATCACGATGGTTGCTAATCAATTGAATTGGTTGTAAAAAAAAGCCGCACAACATAAAAAAACGATGATGTAATCAAAACACGTTTTGATGAGATCTTCCTTTCTTTCTTTCCCCAGATATCAATTAATCAATCACACTAAAGAAAACAATGCTAGAGTCAAATGATCCTCTTTATAATCAATTGGTAAAGGATGGTTCATCATCACCTTCGCTTTTGTCACGTTTATTCAATGGTTGTCGATGGTTTATGATACGACTAATGAATATAATCTTATTAGATCTCCCGGCCCTTATTATCCGATTGCTTTCGAAAAACTTTGAAATACGAATGAATCTTTCTTCAATATTACTTGGTATTGGTTTGCTTGTATTCATTACTGTTGTTATTGTACGATACAAATATTTAACAGGATATTCCAAAGATTTGCATAAGAATAAAGAAACAGTTAAACCAGCTACCAATCCATCATCTTCCAATTTATTCGTTCAGAAGAAACGTGAAAGTAAAACTAAAAACTATTTAGATGAATTTCTACTGGCAATTAAAGTATTTGGATATTTAGAAAAATCAGTATTTCATGAATTAACAAAGAATATGTCAACTCAGAAACTTTCAGCTGATGAAATCCTTTATTTAGATGAGTCATTAGGGTTCGTGATGGTGGTTGAAGGTACTGCACAGGTTTACACAAAAATATCCCATGATTGTATGCCTCTTTCAAATCTTTAACTACCGCAAATGCTGGCTCTACTAAAATAGTGCAATCTTCTCAATCAAAGATATCAATTATTAAATGAAGTGAAGAGTGGAGCGCCCTTAAGTTCATTGATATCGACTTTGGATTTATTTGAACCACATAGACATCTGAGTAGCAATCTGGATATGATTATGACTCCAGCTTCAGAATCTGAAACTGGTCAACTTGCAATTAATGTCCCTCCAAGTCTAATTGAAAAACATCTTGAGAATACTTGTCATGACGACGTGGCAGATGAAGAAGAAGATGAATATCCTAATATCATTGTACGTCCAAAATGTCAAGGTACAGAATATGACGGGATGACAATTGCAGTTATTCCATACTCGGCATTTCAAAGAGTACAAGAGAAATACCCAAAATCAACATCTCATATTGTCACGATGGTATTAACTAGATTATACAAAGTTACTATGAATACAGTACATAATTATTTGGGTCTTTCAGGAGAATTATTACAATCAGAAATAAAATTGAATGAGCATGTATCCAATTTACCCCAGCATTTGGTTGATGGATTGTTACAAAAGATTCTGAGTGAAAAGGAGAATGATGATCATAACAATACTGGCACCACACCTAAAAAGGATAGACCTAAACTGAAACCAAGATCAAGTCACAGACACCATCTTGAAAGATCATCTTCAAAATATGTGTTATTAGATTCAAGATTGAAATCAAGTCATCCTGGAGATTTATTATCCTCGGTTCCAATCTCAAGACAGACTGATATATTCTCCACTGAAGAACTAAAAAATAACCCAAGCGCAGTCCCCTCTTTGAAATCATCATCGATATCTCTACATGGAAGTACTCTTTCACTAGGTCCTTATCTTTCATCTTTGTACTCTAGTCGTAAAAGTCTACTATAACAAGAAACAGAGGAAACATCCTTACGTATTGCAATCGTGGAAAATGTTTTTAAAATTATGGGAATCAATGAAGAACGAACTCAAGGCATGTTACTTGAAAGTACTAGTCAAGTGAATTCTGGATTATCATCTGCCAATACATCATTATTATCAATTGATAAATTACATAATTCCCTGCATACTTTAATTTCAAACACTTCTACTCCAAGGGGAAGATTTTATCGTGGATTCAGACCCCGTTATGAATCAACATTGATGACAACCATAAACGTAGCCAATACAAGTATTGGTTCACAAAGCAATAGTAGTAGTATTCGACAACAACCGCAACAGCAATTCCGTCTTCCAAGATTATCAGCGATTGATTTTTCAACAATAAAAGATGCATTTGCAAAAGCATTGGAAATAAAATACATTGGACCCAATTCTACCCTAGCAGTTCAAGATTCCTTCAATACCGGATTATATTATGTCATTCATGGATCATTGGATGTTTATTCCACACCTGTCCAACAGCTGGAATCCTCCTCTCAATCAGGATTGAGAAAAGTATATACTGTAAACCCCGGCGGTATTGCCGGATATCTTACTTCAGTAGTTGGATTTAGGTCATTGGTCACCATAAAGACCCCTGCAAATGAAGGAGTTATCGTTGCACATATTAATAAATCAGATTATTCTAAATTGATGGATAAGTTTTATTTTTTACAATTACCAGTAGCGATTAAATTGAAGAGTTTATTATCGAAACAGATTTTGACTATTGATTATGCTTTGGAATGGTGCCATATTCCGGCTGGGAATGTGCTTTGTTCTCAAGGTGATTTGGCGAATGGCTTTCATGTTGTCTACTCACCCTCCAAATCTCAACAAGTCTCATGATTCTTCTTTCAAAGAAGACCACCGGATAAAGATGGTAGTGGCGGTAATACCGGAGGAGGAGTTGCTGAGAAGGAACAAGAAGAACTTACAATTTTGGGAGAATATGGCCATGGAGAATCAATTGGGGAAGTAGAAGTCCTAACTGCTTCCAGAAGATCAAATTCATTAATTGCAGTTCGAGATTCAGAAACAGCCCGTATTCCAAGATCATTATTTGAAATGTTAACGTTCCAGAATCCATCAATTATGGTCAAAGTTTCAAGATTGGTTGCATCAAAAGTATTATCCCAAGATAATGCCTTGAATCTGTCAAGTAATAGTATTTCCTCGAGTACTTCTTCTTATATCTCCAATGACTATAAAACTATCACGATTCTTCCCACAGTTGCCGGATTACCAGTGAGAGAATTTGCTGATAAGTTAGTACATGCACTTAAAACGATCGGCAGGAATGTTATCGCATTAGATCAAGCATCTACTCTAACTCATCTAGGTAGACATGCGTTTGATGAAGGATTGTCTCGGTTGAAATTACTGGGATATTTCGCATATTTGGAAGAAGAATACGAAACTGTGGTTTATATCTGTGATTCGCCTGTTAAATCCAATTGGACGGCCACTTGTATTTCCCAAGGGGATTGTATTTTACTCTTGGCTGATGCCGATGATGATTCTGTAGCTACTAGTGTTGGTGAATATGAACAACTATTAATCAAATTAAAAACCACAGCTAGAACTGATCTTTGTTTAATCCACCAAGAAAAATTCGTCTACGGGCCTAGCTGTTCATAAACCGAATTCTTATCTAATACCCAGGTTCCTGTAGATCATATTCAAATGCATATTGAAAGAAGAGTGACTAGAGAAGAAGCGAATCGGAAATCATTTATAAGTGATCTAGCTGAGAAAATTTCCCGAAATACAAATCCAAGTCTTAGATTAAAATTCGAAGAAGCTAAAAACAAAGCATTTTCTTCAGTGTTGAAATTTCAAGTCAAGAATCGTAACAAAGGTATGAAATATAACCAATCGCATAAGAATGATTTTTTGAGATTGGCGAGGATTTTATCTAATGAAGCCGTTGGGTTGGTATTAGGTGGTGGTGGATCTAGGGGGATTTCTCATGTTGGAGTCGTGACTGCGATTGAAAGACATGGAATCCCGGTGGATTTAATTGGAGGAACATCAATTGGTTCATTTGTTGGTGGATTATATGCTAAAGATTATAACATTGTTTCAATCTATGGAAGAGCCAAACAGTTTTCCAAAAGAATTGCAGCAATGTGGAGACTAGTGTTGGATTTTACCTACCCGGTTACATCTTATATTACTGGTTATGAATTTAATCGAGGAATTTGGAAAGTTTTAGGATTTACTGAAATTGAAGATTTTTGGATTAAATATTTTTGCAATTCCACGAATATAACCAATTCCACCATGGAAATTCATGAAACTGGATATCTGTGGAGATTCATCCGAGCATCAATGTCACTTGCAGGTTTATTACCTCCTATAGCATATGATGGATGTATGTTATTAGATGGGGGATATTTGGATAATCTTCCAGTAAATGAAATGAAAAAGAAGGGAGCAAAGTATATCATTGCTGTTGATGTCGGTTCTGCTGATGATAGAACCCCTATGAATTATGGAGATACTCTCTCTGGGTTCTGGGTTTTATTCAATCGATGGAATCCCTTCTCAAAACATCCAAATGTTCCAAATATGATGGATATTCAAATGAGATTAGCATATGTTGCCAGTGTGAATGCTTTAGAGGAGGCGAAAAGAACTCCTGGGGTGATTTATTTACGTCCACCTATTGAGAATTATGCAACTTTGGATTTTGGAAGGTTTGATGAGATTTATCAAGTTGGTCTTGGGTATGCTGATCAATTGTTTACGACGTGGGAGTCTACTAATAGTATGCCACCTATAGCTGGAATGGATCTTAGGAATAAGATTACAGATGGTGAAGACAGGAAAATTTTATATAGAAGGAATTCTATCTAGTAGTAGAAGCTTTAAGACAAAATATAAAAGTACATTATGTATTTCAAATTTGAATCTTATGACGCAGTCTTCTGCTTCTGTTAAATGGTGTATGATCATTGACATGAACTATGTCCACCTCAGGGTTCGAAGTGACTCTAGTCAGGTGTATATTGTGTTGCAAATTTATCTTTTTTTCTTTGCTCTCTAAATCATCTCAAATCTACCTGCAATTAATTAAATAGAGATGAGTGAAAAATAATCTTTAATTCATCTTTTGTAAATCTTTCAACAAAGTAAATGATTAAATTTCCAATACCATTTAAGGTACCTAGACCAAGGGGTACGATAACTCATGTTCCGAATACTAACCTACGTCCACTTATAGTGCGACCCCAGGATCTCAAATACAATCCAAAATCAAATGCATCATTCATGAAATTTGGAATCTTACCATTCTTTCAAGAAAAGATAGATCAATGGTCATATAAGGGTCCAGGTAAGCCGCCGATCCAACAATACACTCAAACTACAACCCGACAGAGTGAGATTTTAGCCGCCTTGGGTTCAGATTGTAGTTTGTTATCATATGGTAATGAATTAACAAAAGATGAGTCCATATTGGCAACTCTTTTACACGCATTTCAACTTACATTGACAAGAAAGCCAAATCTTATGTTTCCTGAGTTGAATGAAAAGGTTGAAACTGTTATTGTGGTACCTACAGATGATATTCTTGACAAGTATGCTGAATGGGCAATGAGGTTGTTGTCAGATATTCCGCCTAGATGTGTCCCCAAAACACTTGTCAGTTCCAATAAAGGAGAAGCATCTACTCCAACAAGCAATAGCACTACTACTGTTGAAAGATCTCCCATGGTGGTAGACTTCTCGTATGATCAGAAAGAAACTCGAAGAATAACTAGTGATCCCGACGATGTATCTACAAAACCTCAAATAGTAATTACTACCTTGAGTGAACTATACAATATCAGCGAAGGTTTAGAATCCAAACTCAAACTCGCAAAGTCTGACCTTGACGCTTTACGTTTTTTATGTGTTGTTGATACAAGTGCATTCTTGAGATGTACCGATATTAACGGAGCACAAGTTATTGGCATTTGTTTTTTCTTTCCTGCAATACACTGATCTGAATATGGATGGTAATTATCTAAACAAGGCTGGAAAAACGAAGGGCATTATAAAAGAGTCTATAAGAGCTTGAAACCGATTGGAAATAGCAAACTTCCCAGGAATCTAGCTTGGGGTCATGATACCGACTATACTAAAATGTTTTTAGAAGATAGTTGGACTCCGGAAAGTGATAATTATTGGCAAACAGAGTTATATGAATCGTTTACCAAGGAAGTTGACCTGATGTTCAATCTTGTTTAGGTTAATACAAAAAACGAATGAGGACTATGAGGTGAGTTCAATGAAATAGGCAATCAGTTTATTTTGAAAGAGGAAAAAATACTCGAGAAAGCAAGGGTCAAGGCATATCAAAGGCATAAGGAAGATCCTCTGGAAATGCGGAGACATTTCGATGATTTAAAGGAATTATTAGAAAGCCAACGTCGAAATTTGAAAAGTACACAAAGAAAAATCCTAAAAACTGTGACTATGTATGTGTATGAGTATGGGAAGCTTTTTGAACCTCGTAGAGACTTGTATAATAGTGGAAAATATGAGAAATTAGATAGCGAGACAAAAGTGTCAGCTTATTTCACAGCTTTGAATAAAAAAGGTGTCTTAGAGGAACTTGAACTTATGCATGAATCATCTGAAACATCTGAATTGATTGGTCTGATTCATGACTTCTCAAAGTTGGGTAGTAATTTAAGAGCGGCCATGAATCGGTATTTCGTAAATAAATCAAAGGCACGTGCAAACCAACAGTACGTAAAAATTGTTTCCGGAATCGTTGACCGTTTAAGAGTAAAGAATAATAATGAAGCTGTCTTGATTGTGGTTCCAAGCCATGTGAAACGGTTTGTTGAACGTTTTTGTGAATTGTCAAGGTTCCTCCTTATATGGACATGTAAATTGAATGTCGCAAAAAGTACAAGTGATGGTGATGCTAAAAAGAAAAATGTCATTATGAACGCTTGGGAATTATTCGGGAAGGATGTTGATGGGTTTAGCAATTTAGTCGTAGTTGATCTTGATTCATTATCCTATCAAACAGCACTTTCAAATATGGGCGAAGAAGCTAAGGAATTGATTACTGGAATAGAAGATCCATTTGCTGATTTACTTGAGTTTTATGTCAGCAAATTGATTTCCAGTAAGGTTGAGAATACAAACAAAAACATAATCTTTGGTTTGTTTGAAGATAGAAACGATTATGAGCGAATGATTCATATTTTCAAATTGAATGACATTTCGAATGCGGTATCTATTGAAAGGTTTATAACGTAAGCCTCAGTTTGAACGTTTTCTTAGATCTAATATTTATACATGTACATACAACTAACTCTAATTACCTGTCTATGGAAACTTCAACTTCTTCTCTCTCAAAACCTAAAGTCTGCTGCCGTGGTCCTACCCCTTTATACCACTCCCCTGTCGTTAAACTATTATAAAACGCAATCACCTTCGGATGTGACCTAACTTTACTCTCGTTAAAATTCAACACTTGCAACCCCAGTCTCGACACCGCTCTTGATAATGCAACATATGCCTGACCTGTTTCGAAGATTCTCCTTAAATCAACCTTGACCCTCGCTAATGTCTGACCTTGCGACTTATGGATCGAAAGTGACCAAGCTAAAATAAGTGGGAATTGAATTCTTGAAACTAAGACATTTCCTTCTTCATCCTCCACCGTCCACTGTTCAGGTTCTACAAGGACAGTTCTGGTATTTATGCCATCAGGAGCTAAGAACTTGACTAATGGACATCTCGTTCCTTTGAATCTTTGCATATAGGCTTTATATGCTCCTGTAAAGGCTAGAGCTAAAAAGAAAAGAAGAAGTCCATCTCTTTTTAGTGGTCAACAGTCTACCATTCCGTGAAAGATATAATCCGAAAGATCTGGCTGTTCTTTATCTTCACTTTCCACCGGGGCATTATATACTGTCTTTGATTTATCGTCTGGGTTTGTATTTCCCGTACTTAAATATGTTTCACGATCCACAAAATTAACAATTTTTCCAAGTGATCCATTAACAAGAGTCTCATCGAAATTCTTAATACACATTACCTGAGCATCTTTCTTCAAATGTAAATCCCAAGGGGCTAAGAAATTCTGCAATAAGTTCAGCCTCTGTGGTTCTGGAAGTGTTCCTGAATCAAAAGCTGGATATGTTACTTCCATTCCTGGAAGTTGATCCAATCTTCGTTTATTTGCCCTTTCAACTTCAAATCTGGTTGCATATAATTCCGCTGCTGTAATTCCATCGTGATTCGGAAGTGGTCTTTCCAAAACCCTGAACTTCTTAATTGCTGATTCACTAACTATCCCATCTCTCATTTCATTCAACATGTCAATAAACCCTTGATCACCTTTCTGACGGAAAACCTCATCAAGAACAACAATATCCTGAATAATTTCTTCCCATGCTGCACTTTCAAATGCGAAATATGGTTCTAACTTCTCTAGAATCTCTTCCCCTCGATTATCCACTTGTTTAACCACAGGAGGCAATTGATAAAAATCCCCCGATAATACTACTTGAATTCCACCAAATGGTAGATTCGATTTTCGTATCTTTTTAGCGACATGATTCAATTTATCCAATAAATGACCATCCACCATCGAAATCTCGTCTACAATAAGTACTCTTATCGCTTTCCATCTCGCAGAAGCTTTTCGACTACTTCGAACTTTTTTAACTAATGACTCTTTATCTCCTGTCCCTAATCCAATCCCAGCAAAACTATGTAAGGTCTGTCCACCAATATTACAAGCAGCTAATCCAGTTGACGCAGTAACGGCAACTTGATCGGGATATATTTTCCGTAATTCACTAATCATCTTTTTTAATAACACTGATTTCCCGGTTCCTGCTGATCCGGTAAAGAATAATGAAACTCCCCTTTTCACTTTTTGTAATACTTCTTCTTGCTTTTTTGAAAATGTGTGCACTTCTTTTATCTTATTAGCCAGACCTACATGTCGTATTGGTTCTATTGTGTCCAAACTATCCCTGCCTGGTCTTTGAGTCATCTCGTAGAAACGTGGCTGGTGGTGGTCATAGTCAAAGTGTTCATTTGGAGCTGCGGTGGAATAACTTGAGGTTTGTTTACTCAGTTTGGAATGAAATCGGATTTGTTGTAGGGCTGTCCCAAATGCATTGCTTGGAAAATAATTGAATAGACCTGTGGTAGGTGATAGTTTGGGGTTAGGTGAAGAATTTATGGGATTTGGACTTGTGAGTTTGGAAGGGGATGTTGTGTTGGATTTTTGTGATGGAGACCTGATTATAAATTTACAAACTCCTTTACTAGGAGATGAAGTCGGGCAACTCTACCGACCACTAAGACTAAGATAACAACAAAGACATTCACCACCGCCACGTGATGTTTTAGATGATTGTATGGGCTTGGTAATTGGATGCTTGAACTCTTTTGATTCCTGTTGAGGTGATCGTGATGGTTGTAGTTTGATTGATTTCAGTTTGGACGTCATCGGCGAAGATGCATCGCGTTTCTCAGTTAATCTTGCTGCTGCTGCAAGTATAGCAGAATCATCATCATCACTAAAATCAGACATGTCAATCACGCCTTTATTCTCCTCCTTCAAATTCTCAAATACAACCTCATCATCATCTTCCTCTCTATCTAGTTCTATGTCACTTGTATCTGTCTTACTACTAATGGTGTTATCTTCACTGAAAGAAGAATCAAAATCAATCCCTTCCAATAATGAATTACTTCTCAATATCCTTGAATCGTTATCTTTAGTTGTGCTATTATTATTCCTATTAAGACGCGTCTGTTTCATTATGCTATAGTATCTACTGTGAGGGTTAGAGGATATCTTGTAATTTAATGATCTTCGTATTATCCAACCTCTAAACGCGTATGTTGTGTGTATTGATATGTTCATTAACGGCTACTAACAAGCACTTCTTCTATTGTGCTCTCTCTTATCTCGGCTCTATGTGTGTTGGTTGGTGTCGTTAATGCTTGTTGTTCCCCTGTTATTCATTCAAACATTAATTAAAACAACTTGGGGTTTATATGTTTATCTTTAGTGAAATTCAGGAAAGAGGAGAGATCCCTTTGATTAAGTTAAAGTTAAAAACACAACGCCATCTTGAAAAAACTGGAAAAAATATACATGTGGTAGCGCGTGTTGGTTATAAAATATCATAGCCGTATAGTTTATTTTTGGCAACATATGGTAAATCTATTCTATTCGGCTATCTACAAGTGGAAATCTAATGAGATTTCACTCTTTTGAAAGCTTTTCCATATTGAAAGTCAAAATTAAATCAATTAGTCATTCTTTCAGGTTTAACTTAATACTACTTATAAACTATCTCTCTCTAAATTAATCTATAATATGATGTCTTTTGTTGCCTAAATACAAAACACTACCTATTTTCCTACATAATCAAATTAAGCCCTTTATGCCTTCCGACAACTACCTCTTATTTGCACCAATTGCCCACCCTAATCCAGACACAAGTAAATTCGATATCTTATCCGTTGGCTGCCTCTGGTGCTGGCTCCTTGTCATCTTCTCTCTCCCGTCATGATGCCTAACTTGTTCACGCTCCACCACCGGTGATCCATCCCCAGCTGTATACCTATCTTGTCGACTTTCTTGAAGTTGTTCAATCTGTTTATTAATCGACCCCCATTGATCTAAAATAATCTTACTATTATCCTCCCCCTTTCCATCCACTGCTTCTTTCTTCAGCAACAATAACAATGTCTTTGAAAGGATTTCTCGCTGTTTGTACAATATATCCAATCTATCTCTTTTTATGTTTTCATTATCTTCATCTTCAAACCATTTTGGTGAGATATATTTCCCGACTTGATAAAAAGTTAGCCATAATTCATTAATTTGTGATTGCCCATAATGATTGAATAATTCTTGGGTTTGGGAATAGGCATAGGAGAAATTATTATCAATGAGGGCTGATTCTATACATGCACTTTTTAACCTATTGAAATAATAATGAGATTCATTGGTTGTGGCGCTGTTGGTGGATGGGGAGAATAATAATAAATCATTTAAGATTTTATATAATTTTTCAAATGCTAAATAAGATTTTGGATTTTGTTCCAATATCAAAGTGACCAATTCAAGACATCCTTGATCATCTCGGTTTGTGAATCGATTAATCAATTGTTGGGGAGTAAAAGGTTGATTTCTTTCAATTACAATTTTAAAATTCTTCATATTATAAATCGCTTTAAATAAATGTTTTAATCTAATAATTAATTGATGATTCTCTTGATTTAATTCAGGATCTAAGGATAATTTATCAAATATATCAAGACATTGTTTTGCATGATTTAAATAACCGATTTTTTCATTTAGATTCAGTGAATGATTAAAAGAATCCCAAAATTTATCTTCAATCAATTTAAAAAATTCATTTATTTCAATATTTGTATCTTGATAAAATTCAATCATTATTTCAAATAAATTTGAGAACAATAATCGTTCAATGATTATTTTATTTATGGAATTTGATCTGTCTTGAGAAGGAATAAATTCTGATTGGAACATTTTAACTAATTGTAATAATTGAATATAATTTGAAGTTGATAAATTTGATATAATTTTAAGTATTTCTTTTTCAATATCAATTGGACTTGTACTGCTTGTCCATTTTAATTTAAAATATTTGGCTAATGTAAGTTTATTCACCGGGAATAATTTTTCAATTGTTAATATGGCATTTTTCAAAACATTAATTGAATTTTCAGTTGGATTAATAAATAATGGTTTAAGTGGGTTGGTTGATAGATTAATAAATTCATCTAATGATTGACAATCTTGAGGGATATCCGTAATGTTTATTTCTGGTATCTCATTTGTTATATTTGAAGGAGGAGTAGGTAATAAATTCAAAGTATCTTTAATAAAATCATAAATTCGAATTAATTCAATTGAAGAAGAAGATACTTTATCCAAATCTTCCTTGAATCCATAATAATAACAACCCGCCAAAACATATTCAACAAGTTCTTTATAATCATTATAATTAACCTGGCTATTATTTATAATTGATTTAAAAGTAATAAACCAAATATGATATTTATATGATTTTGTCTTTGCCCCTGGTAAATCTGCTTGGAATAGCCATTGTTTTAATTGTGTGAAATCTTTATTATTATAGATGATTAAAGGTAATATAACATTTTTCATCCAATTATCTAATGAAATTGAATTATTTGGATCTTCTAATGGTTTAATAAATATATCAAATCTCTTGGAATATGTAATTCTTAAATATTCATGAAATTCAATTGAAGCTTCAGGATGAACACATCCATAATGATTCCAATAATAATTATACAGTTGAATTATTCCTTGATACCATTTTCTAAACTTGCCATCTGATGCAATGGCTAGTGCTGATTCATATAATGATTGTAATGAAGGTATTAAATCATGGTTATAATATTTAGATAAATGTAATGATTTAGCTTGAATGAATTTCAATAGATTATAATTTGATGATTGTGATTCATTGAATGAGAATGATAATAATTGAGTTTGAGAATTAATATCAATTAATAAGTCTTGAGTTGTTTTGATTAAAGTTGAATCCAGGATAGATATTGGAGGTTGTAATGAATTTAAATATTCTTGAGGATCTATTGATTCTTCTATTTCTTTAGATATTAACAATTCGGCATAATTAATTAAGGATGATAAGGATATTGTTGTTGGATAAGTATATACTAATAATGTATTCAATATATTGGATCTGGTTGAATATTTACAATCATATTGTAAATTAATTGATTTAGTAATTGTTAATGAATCTATTAGTTGATTGGTATTGTTACTTGTAATTGATTGTATTGAAGTTATAAATAATTGACAATCCAATAATTCATCAATTGATTCTTTCATCCTTTCTTCGGAATCTATAATATTAACAGTAAATTGATAGACTCTAATACAGCTAATAGCTTAAATTGCCAATACTAAAATCGTTTGTTTTGAAGAGAGATTTCTAATTGCTATTTACTGAAAATTTATTGAAATCTTTTTTCTACTGGAATTTTTTAATTATTAACTGCACTAACTACTTACTACCTTGTATACAACTACTGCTCCAACTTCTTACTACTACTACTACTACTTACTCTCATTCAACATAGAGGTACTCAATAGCGGGAAGATATTTGGGATATCTTAATAGCATGATATCATTAAAAGTCTCATACAAGAATGGCCCAACGACTAATTCAACAATAGCCATAAAGAAACCTTTATTTATTCTACTCGAAAGATATTTCAACAAATCTGCGGATACGGTCTTCTTATGAAATACCAACTTATTGGACGAAAAAACAAGCTTTGTAATACAATATTCTGAGTAGTGACAAACTAAACTCCAACGATTATTACGATGAGATTTAGTTAACATATTTATTGCTGAGGTTTGTTCACTTATTAGTTAGGATGTGGTATAAAGGCTGGCTCTTAGTCCCATGATATTTACGGTTGAGAATCCCTCCTAGTTGTTGGGGTTTAATACTTTAAACTCATGTAACATTCTAGGTTGTAAGTGACCAACCTAAGTAAACAACCTAGAATGTTACATGAATTTAGAGTTTTAAATGGCTTCCTTCTTGCCAATCGTTTTTATGAAATAGTGAATTATTAAACTGTTTGAATGCTTCCTCTGACATTGGCTGGTGTAGCTCTCTAATATATATGTTCGAGATGATAAATAGAGGTTGATGGCTATAGTTTAGTAGGTTGTTGGCCATTCTTGTGGGTACCTCCTTTGAGTTAACTCAATAGGAACAGGTTTTCATTGTTTATAGTTTGTATTATAATTGTATAGCCAAATTGATTTCAGTGCAAAAAAAACCATGCTAATTAAATTTACTTACACTGAAAAATTAACTTGTTTTTCTTCCTCTCTTCTCTTACTATTACTACTAACTTACTTACTTCATTAGTTCTTATTAACTTACACTGAACTAACTATTTATTTATTTATTATTGTTACTACTTTCTACTACACTTGTAATCTTATAGACTGTTCTACTGTTACAACTTTAGAGATAATCATAGAAGACATATTAGAATTTATATAATCTAAAAACCAATATACGAAACAAACAAACAGAACAAAGGGTAGAGAGTTATGTCATTTGTTACAACTAAACAACAACGATTAATAGAAGATGCAGTATCTAATCATGTTAAATACTATGATAAAACAATTAATCAATATTTAAAATTAAGACAAGATTTATTTAAATTAACAAATGATATTATACAATCACAGCAACAACCATTAGAGAATGATGAACAACAAGAAAGTAATAATTCTATTAATATTAAATTACAATTAAATGAATTAAAATTCAATTTAGATAGAATGTATCAATTATATAAATCACATTTAATTGAATTAACTAATTTCTTAATAATTCATAAACAACAACAACAACAACAACAACAAAAAGGAAGTATAATTATAGATGATGTTAATAATCAATATGAATCATTAACAATTAAACAAAATAAATTAAAGGATGAAATTAATAATATAACAAAAATACAAAAACCTTTATTAGAAAAGTTAAGAAATTTAGTTTATAATTTTAATAACAATTTAGATCCATTAAAAGTTAAACAATACACTGCCAGTAGTGCTACTGCCAGAGAACCAATTGATTATGAAACTTCAACCAAGATTGATTTAAGTTCATTGAAATTTACAAAGGAACAATTAGTTACATTATTTAATGATATTACTGATTCATTAAATGTTGAAGAATCATTAAAGAATAATACTCGATTATTTGAGTATCAACCAGAAGATGATGATTCTATGATTTATAGATTAAATAAATCTTCATTACATGAAATTTCAACTCAATCAACAATTGANGATTCTATGATTTATAGATTAAATAAATCTTCATTACATGAAATTTCAACTCAATCAACAATTGATGAATATGATGAATTAATAGCTACAACTATTAATCAAATAAATTCATTAAATCAAGAAGGTTATGAATTAAAACAAAATTGGAATAAAATGGCATCCAAAATTGAAATCATCAGTCAAATTATTATAAATGAACAATCCCCACCACCGTCACACGACTTAGAAGAAGACCAACAAGTAGATATAGAGATGGAAGGATAATAAAACCTTTCGTATATAAATAATACATATATTTCCTACTATACAAAACACCTCTATACACGCACGCCTCTATATGCCCTATTCAGACACAGGACTTATCAAAATAACAGAATCTCCTCTAACAAATACCATCTCAGTATCCTTCACCAAAGGTTCTTCATCATTCTCAGAATATATAAATTCTTTTGCTTGACTTAAAACAATATTACAATGAGAATCATATCCTTGAAGTCTTCCTTTCATTTCTCTTGCACCTCGTAATTTAACCAATACTAATTCATCTAATTGAAAACGTATCAAATCAAGTGGCTGTTGTTCTGTTCTATCTGACATTGCTTAGTTACTTTACACTACTTCTTCTCCTTCTTCCTACTTCCAATTGTAAAGAAATTTCAAAATCTTTGACTGGGAACAATGTCGTTTATATTAAAATGTCTCTCCAATATCCAATGTCGTAGAAATTTTTCAGTGCTTTGAAAATTTTTTTCATCTTCATCAGAATCAACCAGTACAGCTTTCATACATAACATTCCGAATCAGACCAATGAGTAGTAGTATACGTACCTGTATCAGGCAGTTCCTGAAGACCGCAAGTCTCGGTGCCAGGGCTAAACCATTATCCTTCAAAAACCTCAAAGAAATCAAATTAAGAGAACCAATTGTCCCCACCCATAAGAATTTTGAAGTATCACCAGATCATCCACTTTGGCAATTTTTCCCACAAGGAAATCAAACTACTAGTTCATTAAGAGAATCTGAGGAGTTGGATTTAGATTCTAGGAGTTGGGCCATGTCTGAATTACGTAGGAAATCATTTGAGGATTTACATACATTATGGTATTTATGTTTAAAAGAACGTAATATAATTGCTAGAGAAGTTAGATTATCTGAAGCTTTAGAAAATGAAGATGCTAGACAATTTATTAATTTAGATAAGAAGTTTCATTTGACTATGAAGAGAATTAAGCAAGTTTTATTGGAAAGACAAGTTGCTTATGAAAGAGTACAAACATTAGATCAACAACAACAAGAATATTTACAAGAATTTAAATCTAGATTTGTGAAATGTAATGAAGACGAAATTGATGAATATCATGAAAAATTAATTAGATTACAATATGCTTTCTATGGTATACAACCAGATTTACAAGATTATGATTTGGAAAAAGATATTGATATTAAATTTATTAAAGGATTAGAATATATTGCCGAATTGAAATTAGCAAGATTTTTACATTTGCATCCAGATTATAAATTTGAATTACCTTTAATAGGTCCAGTTGAACAATTGCCTTTCTTTTTAAAAGATACTGAAGAAGCAATTGAAGAAGTTTTGGAATTAAGAAAATCAGGTAATTCAAAGAAATTAGATAATATTCAAGTTATACCTTTCTTAAAGAAAGCTCTTGCAAATGTTATCGAAGAAGCAAACGTAGAGCAATCAGAACAATAATGATTGCCGCTACGTCCCTCCCAAGTGTACATAGTTTCACTCTGTAAATAATGCATAATACAATTCACCTTACAGTGTTTACATATTACGACATGCGACATTTTTTAAATGTCGTAATCTCATACTACAATTCTCGCTCTCACTTTTTTCATTGGCCATTTGAGTTTGATATTGAATTTTTCAATCTCGAACCTTTAAAAGCCCAACAGGACAGAGATAGCAGCTATGGGAGGCAGAATTCATGGATTCTTAGGCGGTGTGTTATTAACATCCGCCATCACCTATTATACTTCACAATATATTCAAAAAAATCAACAATTTATTTCCCATCAATTACGAACTTCAGAAAATATAATAAATAATCGAATTCTTAGTGATAAAGATTTACAAAAACCTTTGGAACCTATTAGTTCACATATTACTACTACTGGCCGTGTTAGTTTTGGTGAAACTTGTAAAGATATTTGGAATGATGAGATTATAACTATGGTGAATTGGATATATAGTATTAATTGGTATCAATGGGGGGTTGAATTGGATAAACTGGTAGTGAAAGCTGTCGATTCTTTAAAGAAATAGCGTAACTATGATATACAGAGATGGTTTTGCCATATGTGTAATAGAAATAGTTGTCATATATATATAAATAGTTGACATATGTATAAAAAGTATAGAAACCTAATCATCTTTCTTTGTATCTTCACTTTCATTCTCTTCCCTCTTTCTAAAGAATGCAACCACATCTCTATAAACCACCCAATTAGCAATCGGAGCAATAATCAGAAACAAAAAACTCACAATCACCTGAAAGAACCCCCATTGTCTAGGCAAAACTCCCAACACCGAACACCCAAGCACCCATCCAATAAAATCAGTAGTCACAGTATCATACCCTTTACTCAACTGATCAATAATCATCCCAGCACAAACATCACCTGGAATGGCCTCACTGGGACCCTCAATCTTTTTTGTAATCTCGGGTTTTGTCTTCTGTTCCTCCAAAAACCCTTCACTCATGAAATTCCCAGGAAATACGCACGAGACTCTATAATTATATGGCCCCAATTCTTGTCTCAAAATAATCGACAAAGATTCCAACGCGGCTTTAACGGGGGCATATTGTAAATATCCAATAAATGGGTAAAACCCAACCACGGAACTAAACAAAATAATTTGTCTCTTCTTATATTCATAACATTTCAATCCTGGATTCAGCGCCAAAACCGCCTTAAACCCCGCATGGATCGGATATACGGCCGTATAATAATTAGTCTCCACTCCTTGTTTGATATCCCTCCCCGTCAAATCAGCAAATAGTTTCGGCACAGAACTACCAGCACAACAAAAGATAATATCAGGATCCAATTGACGGATTTCCACAATCTCCTTCCATAATTCGACACAGGATTCATAATTGGATGCATCATTGACTATATATGTCAAAAATTGTGCCTTGCTTTCCGGGGCTGCTTGTTTGATTCTTTGGATTTGGGATTCGAGTTTGGTTTGGGTACGGGCAACGAGAATTATTGAACAATTTTTTTTATAGAGTTGTAATGCTAATTCTGCTCCTAGTCCTTGTGAGGCGCCGATTATAAGAGCGGTTTTGCCTTCTGTCGGGAAGTTTGATTTGGAAAACCACATTATAAGGGATTGATAGAATTGTTGTGGGTGTTGGTTGTGTTTAGTTTCGTGATTTCGTGTGTTTTTGTTTGGGTTTTTATAGATCTTTTTTTTTTTCAATGGGAATTTGATATTGGTGGTGTGGAGAATAAGGGTTCTATCCGGAACGAGAGGAGTTTACACATATGGGCATTTCGGAAGAGATATCTTCCCAATCGAGCAATTACGGCCATCTGGACTAAATGACTAAAGGGTTTATTATTACTATGTACAAATAATTAAAAGATATACAATTATTTCTTTTGAGTCAAGAAAGGAGATGGTGGAATAACAGATGGATCAGATTTCAATTCTCTAGGAATAGTAGGATGTTTCTTAGACACAAGTAAAGTCCCCTTCAAAGAACCACCATGATATTCCATATTTGCTCTAAAATTCTTCAAATTTTCTTTAATTGCTTCATCTTCAACTTCTCCCACTTCTTTATTATACTTAAAGAATTCAACTTTACAAGTCTCAACCGCATCACGGAACCTTTCTTCCCCATTAATTCTCTTCTCAGTCAATTTCTTAACATTCAATTCAGTAATATCATCCATGGCAATGTTTTGTAATTCCATTCTAGCAACTACTTTGGCAGTATACCAAAACTTAATCTCATAATCAGAATCAACCAACTCTATCACCGACATTTTTGCCTTATCTTCCCCTAATCTTGGTTCTAATTTTATAAGACGAGTAAAACCAGTGGTTCTATTTGGATATCTATCAGCAATCTCATTTATGATCTTATTCCCACATTCAACTCTATCAGGTGGTTGTAAATAATTAATTGCTCTAAATTTACTGAATTGTTCTTTTGCGGGTAATGTCTGAACATCTTTTGCTTGTTTAATGGCATCGGTTAAAAAGGATTCGATGAATGGTTTGGCTTTTTTGGCTTTTGCACTGGTGGTGACGATATATTCATGACGAATTAAGTTGGCAGCCAAATTCTTTTGAATTGTGTTTCTTTGTAGCGCCCTATTGATGTTAAAATTCTTTAAATTTTGCGGCATCTTCTTGCTTTGGGTTCTATAGAGAGAGTTGTAACTTGTTTGATTTGAATCCGCTTTGGTTTATAAAAAAATTTTCATACTGCTGCCAATTGAAAAGTTCTGAAAAACTTTCTAAAGGTGCGACATTTAAAATGCGACATCAATGAAATGTCGCACATATAAACTTTAGATCTTACTTGAATAATTTATTTATATCTGACATGAAAACTATACATTATTTACTTAATATTCCTTTTATCTAAGTGTACTTAGAAGTTGATTGGCTTATCGAATGTAGCTAAAGCAGCTTCCTTGAAAGCTTCAGATAAGGTTGGGTGAGCATGACAAGTTCTAGCAATATCTTCAGTAGAAGCACCATATTCTAAAGCTAAACCAGCTTCAGCAATCATTTCACCGGCATTTGGACCAATGATATGAACACCCAAGACTCTTTGAGTTTCAGCATCAGCAATGAATTTAACGAAACCGTCAGTGTCCATGTTAGTTTTAGCTCTTGAATTGGCAATGAATGGGAATTTACCAACCTTATATTTAATACCTTGTTCCTTTAATTGTTCTTCATTAAGACCAACCCAAGCAACTTCTGGATGAGTATACATGACAGATGGAATGTTGGCATAGTTAACATGACCATGACCGTGTTTGATGTATTCAGCAGCAGCAATACCTTCTTCTTCAGCCTTATGAGCTAACATAGGACCAAAAGTAACATCACCAATAACTCTAATGTGGTCATGTTTGGTTCTGAATTGATCATCAATGACTAATCTACCTCTGTTGTCTTTTTCTAAACCAGCAGCTTCCAAGTTTAATCCTTCAGTGTATGGTCTTCTACCAATGGCAACTAATAAACAATCAGCTTCTAATTCTTCAATCTTTCCATTCTTGACGTTTTCAACTTCAATCTTAACAATATCACCATCTCTAACACCCTTGGTAACCTTAGTACCTAATTTGAAATCTAAACCTTGTTTAGCTAAGAGTTTTTGTGATTGTTTGGCAACTTCACCATCCATACCGGCACCAATGGCATTTTGGAATTCCATGACAGTGACTTGAGAACCAATTCTGGAGTAAACAGAAGCCATTTCTAAACCGATAATACCACCACCAATAATAGCTAATCTCTTTGGGATTTCCTTAAGAGATAACATACCAGTAGAAGAAACAATTCTTTCTTCATCAATTTCAATACCTGGGAAAGGAGTTGGTTCGGAACCAGTGGCAACGATATAATGATCGGCTTCAACTTCAAAAGCTTCAGAACCATCAATTGGCTTAACAGCGACGGTCTTTTCGTTAACAAAAGAACCTTCACCCTTGTGGTAAGTAACCTTATTCTTCTTGAATAACATTTCAATACCACCAGTTAATTGTTTAACTGCCTTTTCCTTGGCAGCCATTAATCTTGGGAAATCAACTGAAACTTCACCATTGATGGCAATACCTCTTTCTTTAGATTCATGTTGAATTTGATGATATAAATGAGAATTGTTTAATAAAGACTTAGATGGAATACAACCAACATTTAAACAAGTACCACCTAAAGCACCTCTCTTTTCAATACAAGCGGTGTTCAAACCTAATTGAGCAGCTTTAATGGCAGCAACATAACCACCTGGACCACCACCAATGACAACGACATCATATTTGGTGGAAGCAAATCTGACAAATTGAGCCAATCTTTGGGATTGACCGTTTAAAGACTTAGAAGTGAATGATCTCAACATCTTTATGGGGTAATATTTAAATAAGTGGTTGGTGTAAATTGAGTGGAAAAGAAATCCTGAAAGAAATTTCAATCAAGTTTTAAATTCGATGGAAACTGTTTGGTTGAAATGAAAGGAAAAAAAAAATGTTTCACTCTTGTCCGACATCCCGCAGTTTTAAACTAAAAGGAGACAATACAAAGGAGCGACACACCGATCCAACAAAAAAAATAAATCCCTGTTTTTCCCGGGTCAAAAAACTACACCATGCTGTTTACACTCACCACGAGTCAATAACACATAAATATAATATCTTACATTCTAATGCTTACTAAGTACATATCATTCGCATGACCCTGTACGGGTTCAATTAGTAATTCAAATTTCTAGCATGACCCATCATCAATAAGAAGCCATCTTATGTTTTTTTTTTTCTTTAAACGGTATCGATTAGATTATACACTAAAATTATAAACGATAATATATAAACTGATACTGACCCTCTGATACATATAGGGCATAACGTTCTGTAGAAATGGTAAAAACCTTTTATAGGCACTTAGGTGTATGATAAAAGCAACATAAGTAGTGTGAGAGTCCAAGACCAGCAGGACTGGGTTGTATACTCACTAAAAACCATTGGTACGAGTTGGCTGGGGGGATAAAGCGTAAATGATTTAGGATGGGGTGGTTAATCCGGAAATATTGTTTCGGAGATTAAAATGCGAGAAAATATACCCTTTTTCTTACTTTCTATATGCCTGACAAAATAAATATCACGGAGTCATTCAAGGGGATATAGACTCCTTATGCTTCTCATGGAGTTAGGCTATTTCCCGGATTTAAGATCTAGGTAATGTGTCCGAGAAAGAAAGATTATGTAGAATACATCTCCCTCATAAAGTACCTACGAATAAATGAGTGCGCTACCCAGTATCACAGTTTGGCTTAGTCCGAGGGTAAGACAATTGATAAACTTAAACAGAACTTGTTGTTTCAAAAAGATAAAATATAAAATAAAGTGAATGAAATTAAAAGTATCCTTAATCTCAAACCATTCCAATCGTCACTATGGACCGATTGAAAAGAATGGGGAAAAGGCGGAGATTGCAAATTGACTTCCTCTTGACCCTGGAAATTAGCGCACTATGAATCACTCACTACTTCTGATTCTTCAATTGGATTCCACGTCTTCTTACTTTTCATCTTTGTCCAAAGTATTAACATTTCTAATGTAATGGGATGGAAAAGGTAAGGCACCAAAGCAAACGGCAATCTCCATTAGAAAATATTGAATAAAAAATAAACCTTCAATTTTTTACAACCAAACGTTTTTTACAACCAAAATTTAATTCAATTTTTTTTTACAACCAATTTACTTTTTTTACAACCAATTTATTTAATCTTTTACAACCAATTTATATAATCAAGTTGAATGGATTGAGAAATTCATAAAAGATTCTAATTAGGTGGTCTTCATACTAAGGAAACAATTGGCTCTACAAGATTTTGATTGTAGTCTGCTGGTTTGGTTTCAAGTCTCAAGGATGTTTTCTAATATCAGAATAACCTATTCAAAAGTTGCTGAAGTTATTGATATGTTGCTATTTTGGTGCTCCATTCTCTGGTTCAAATGGTCAGAAATTGAAAACAGTTAATATGGTTTTCCTCATCCAATAATTCTGATGGTGGTTTTTTGAGAAAGATATATGTTGGTTGGTTTACTGCATTCAGCATCACTTCATTGTATTCTTGATTCTTCAACTTACAGGGTGAAGAGACTGTACATTGTATCGGAGATTCAGTGGGAAGGGGAGAATTATGTAAATCTTCTGTAAAAGAATCAGCATTGCACAATTCATCGCTTCCCAATGAAAACGACGGACAATTTATATGTCCTCATTCTGTAGGTTCTATTGCCTTGAAAAGTGATCAATGATTTGCTCACTAATGAAATGGTTGTGAAAATGGAATCGTAGTTACAGTGATATCGACAGGAGCTGCCTTGTTTGATATGTGGGAGTCTTGTCTTGGAGTATGTTTTGGTTTGGAGAAAGACGAAACTTTTACTCCAAACAATCCAAGCTTGGACTATGCCTAGTTTGAAACTCGGTGGGGTTTATGTCAGTGAGATTTGCTGCTTTCTGAATCCTCATTCATTGCAATTGACACAAATAAGGCATGAACCTTGGTTAGTAACTTGGCTTCAGGTTCATTGTATGTGTCTTTCAAGCAATAGTTGCTGATGTTTGTAAATCAATTGATGTTTCAGTGGTACTTGTGTCACTTTCCAAATCCTCATTCATAGCAATGTCCACAAGCAAGTCGTGAATCTTCTTGGGAATGTTTTCTTGTTCTTTATAACAAAACTAAGAAGTCAGTCATTGTGATTGGATTTGTTGAGTTTAATTTTGCCTTTTGGTATTTGGCAATAAATCTGGCGGTTGCCTGATTTTTCTGGAATAATCCAGCAATGTATAATTTCTTCATTTTGGGTTCGAGTTGGGAGATTTCCTTGATGGATAAGAAAGAATCAGATGAATTGTTTGAACCGGTTTGGAAAGTCATTTTTGTTGTATTTATAGTGTTTGTTGTATTCGTATATAAAGTGAAGAAGAAAGAAGCTCACATAAATTGAATTTCTGTGGTTTTTTCGCAATTGAGAATTTATACATCCATCGAGGTTATAACCCTCTTTCATAGATAATAATTGTACTTTTGAATTGGAAGTTTCTTCGGAGGTATTTGAAATAGTTTGGAAAGACATGCTTTCGTTTGTTATAAGATGAAGGTGAAATGAGTATAAATTAAGGTTAATTTCACAGTTGTGGGATATTTTCAAAAGTTGCAACCATTGTTTTTGCTAACTCGTCCCCAACAAACATATCCAGTTTTGATTCAACGATTTTATCGGAGCTACTTCAAAAGGAGTGTTAAAGTTGATTCGGGTAATATCTGTGTTAATATCTATCACATTGTCATTGTCATAATCCTAGTCAGATTCGTAAACGATTCCTAAAGAGAATTTCTTGTTTAAAAATATATGATTTACTAAAAACTAAAATAAGCAAACAAATAAAAAGCAACCTCGTGTATCCTCCCATTTAAATCCCATACTATTATTACCATCCCGATCACCACTCAGTAACTATTTTCATATCCGAAGTATCAATAGAGTCTTCTTCAGATTGCCAATTCCATGTTGAATTTATGGACACAATGCTTGAATAAAAAGAAGATGAAGATCGATAAGTGACTTCCCGAACCTCTAAATTGGTATAGCATGAGCCCCTAGACTCTTCGAATTTTTCCGAACAAAAATCTATGAGGTATTCTGAGTGGTCACAGTCTTCGTCTTGCTTCGAAGTATTTATACTTTTGGAGCGGTGAGATATAAATGGAAAACTGGCAGTGGGTTTGTACACCTTGGGAATAGTCAGTTCAAAAATTTGGATGGCTAGAAGGTAAAAATTGTATACTCGGACCGATGTCCAAGTCAGTTCCATACATCCTTTGTTCACATTTGATGCCTTTGGTAGATATGAATAAATCATCTGTAGGCCCCTTAGTGTTACTAAATTTATGATATTTTATGTTGTCAATGGAGCAACAGGTTTTCTTGTTGGTTCCATGGCAATGTCATCAATGGTATTTCCAATTCCCAATAGATCGCAACTTTGTTCTCCCTTTAAAAGAACCTCCGCAGTGTCTTGATTTCTTTGGAACGATTGATTCTCAACCTTTTGCAATGCATGTTGGTTTTGTCCCAGTTGATAAAAAATTTAGTTCTAAATGAATGACTGATCTTTTCAATAGTTTGCAACTTAAGTTCCCTCATCAATTTTGACCTCGTTATCCATGGATTGTATTGTTGGTAGTGGTGGTAGCGGCAGGTTATTGGAAATCCCTTGATGATTTAGCGTCCCATGTTTGCTTTTTCATAACTTTCGACATAGTATCTAATTGATGTTCACCTGACAAGATTCTGGAATTCATGAAGTTGTTTCAATAGCAGGTGATTCAACAGGAGGTGACTTAATTTCTGAACCTTTTAAATTGGTGATGGAAGTAGCAGTAGCAGAATCAATAAATTGACGAACTTGATGGACCTGTGGTTTGTTTTTGGTGAAGCTCTTGGCTGATTTTTCTAGCGCCAGTTTGGTGTTTGTGAAATAATCCACGGAAGTATGTTTCGTTTTCTTTGCTGTGCTATCGAGTTTGCAAAACTCTTTAGCGGTCAATTTTGGTTTGGAATTGTTAGATCCTTGGAATCTGTTTGAAATCTTGGAATACATATTTGGTTGAGTTGTTTGGAATAATGTTGGTAATAAAGTAAAGAAGAAACGATTACGGATAAAATCGAAGTTCGGTGGTTCTTTCGCAATCCAAGCTCCATTTGATTTTAGTCATTTTTCAATTCAATTCCTTTCTGGAAGACGCAACAAGAAACTTCCACTTTCTCTTAAAAAGATCAAAGAAATCTGGCACCATTATCAGTCAGTGAGGCAATGCTGTATTGGTTTTTCATTATGTTGCCAATTGGGTAAGAATGGCAACATTTAGCTTTAAAAAATTGAATCAAATCTCCATTTAATATCATCGATCCTATGGTAATCTACATTGAATCCAAGAGGTTGTAGAAGTGAATATGAATCACAAAACTTACCCTAATATTGCCATAATTTACCATTGGAGAATTCACCACTCGACGATAACACTTTAAAGTTGATGAACTCCTCAGAGCACATTGTGATATAGCTAGACGATTCAGTTCTGAGAATTCAATATTTCTGAATGATGCTTAACTTTAATGCTTGACCTAGGCACACTGTCGCTGATTGTTATTGTTGTGATTTGAAATCTAGAATTAGATACTTTGCTTTTAAGGAAAGGCTTCGTGTTTGGATGTGAGATTGATCATGATAAATGGTTTAGGAAAATTCACAAGTCATCCAACAACAAAGGACAGGACTTCTCATACTTGGCATTTCATTCTTTTTCTTATGTTCGTTGGCAGGAACATCTCCACAGGTTTTTCTGTGCTTGCTTGGACTTGAGTTTCACACGAATGCCCTTTTCGATAGCACGAGCGGCACGGCGGGGCATAAATGGAGATGGCCCAAGGCCCCGCCGTGCCACTTTCTCGCAAACATAGCAACCCGGGTGGAGATGCTGTTGCCAGTGACAAGCAAAAGACTACACGTATCAGAGCCTTTTTCATTGAGAAAGTAAGCTATCGAAAAGGGCCATCATTTGAACCTCAAATTCCAAGCAAACACAGAAACACATGTGGAGATGTTGCTGCCAGCGACAAGCGAAAGACTACACGTATCAGAGCCTTTTCATTAAATTCTTGAAAAAGGTAATCAATGGCCCAATTGTGTCTACCACTGCATAAAAAGAGGATTATAAAACGATATGTGTTTCTAGCAGTACGTTGAAAACATTCTTAGAACGTACGATCCCGTCGTATCAGAATTTATAGAAGAATTAGCCAAATTTCAAGATATTGCCAGATTTCAATTGAATATTGAGAACGATTGTCGTGAGTTTTCTTTGGCTTGATTTTTACCCTGTCGATAATTTTCAAACCTTTTTACCGTTCAAAAATATGGAGAGAAAAGACTGAAAAATAGTGAAAGGGTAAACAGCCAATCAATACTAAAGAAAGAAGAATCTTTTATTGTGATCTATTTATTTATTATTATGGCTAATTGCATATTAAATTCATATCATATTGTAATAATTATAAATTAAGCTTCTCTATTTTGGTAAATTATAAATCATAGCCTTCCCTGTATAGATACAGCCAAGGAATCTATCTCTATCTTATCGACTATTTTTGGCTGCAAAACTTTAATTATTCCGTAATATTAAAAGACAAATAAATCTGCAATCCAAGAGGTAGACCAGTATTGTGAAATCTACAAATGTATGTTATGACGAAAGGTACACCCCGTCCTCAATTGAGAATTTGTCTTTCTAAAAATGCAGTCATTCAGTATAAGAATTTGTCTTTCTAATTATAGCAGTCATTGTTTTTGCTGAATCGCCCCAACTAACTACTGGAAAAAATAATTTGCAACCATTTTATCTCAACTATTTAAGCAGATGTGTATTAGTTGGAGGTGTGCAATACATATGTTGCCAATTATCGTTCATCAGCTCTTAGATAGAGGCTTGAAAATTTACTAAAGAGATTCTTGTTTCAACGCATACTATTTATTAAAAGCTAAAAAAGAGAATAAGGCATAGGAGAGTAACCTCCCATTCCACACTTTATAGCCATCCATATCACCAGCCAATACTTATTGCATAACCAAATGGCCAATGTTATATTCTTCAGATTGAACACCCAAAACAATTCTTAGGGAGCGATTTCTCTGGGAGGAATCCCATGAAGATGGAGGTTGATACTTACCTTTCTGATATTCCAAAGCAGTGTAATATGAATGTTGTCCATTGGAATCTATTGCGGAACCCTCATTTTCATGGCCTTCATCATGAATCAGAGCACTGACACTTATAGGGTATTGGTGTTGAAAATATAGGGAATTGGAAAGGGGGACGGGTGCACTTTGGGATCGGCGAATAAGCTTTGGATAACTAGTACGTGAATCTGTTGTATTGAAACTACCTGGTTCGTTATTGATACCATCAAAGGTGTTTTCGTCTCGAAAGGAATCAGAACTGACTTCACTGGACAAACGGAAGGTTTCCTCATATTTTGCTAACACTCTTGACATGCTTTTGACAATTCTTGAGTTTTGCATTTTCGAATTTGTTCGCTTGAAATGTACTTTGGCTTTGTTCCAATTAAAGGAAATGTTGGCACCCACTGAATTTTTTAATTTATTAATTGTTGATTCAACCTGGTTGTCTTGTATGTTCTCATCATTAGTAGCAACTAAGATCTTATCAAGGTTGTTAGCGGTAGTAGTAGAAGATTCTCCCTCTCCAAATAGTAAAAGCCTAGATGTGTTCTCCTCGTTGTTTCCCGTTTGGGTTGAGTTTGTTTCGACAACAACAGCATTTTCCCTTTCCAAATCTTCATTGGTACCCATGAAAAATAATAGGTATTGTATTTCATTGGGTAGATGGTCGCCAACTGGGTCGTGATATGTGGGAGAAAAGAAATTTACCATTCGTCTTGGAGTCGTGGTGCGCGTATGAACATGTTTGGAAATCACTCGGGCGCTAAACTGATCTTTTTCAAATAAACCCTTGAAGTAGATTTTCTTCATCCTTCTACTGAGATTATAAAACTCATTAGTGGACAATAATTTGGCTTTTGGCTTAGTAGATAGACTACTTAACCTTGATGATTGAGACATATTTGTTGATGTTGGTTAAAGAGAAGAAGACAAGTGGTCAAGGAGAATGTGGTTTTTTCGCAATAGAAGAATTTATATCAAAGTTGCAGCCATCACTACGGTGCGAGAATTGGAGACAGCGAATCGTAGATAATTTATAATCTAATAGTTTCTATAAGACCATGTAAATATATCATATTTAGTATGGTTCACTAATGGTACAAGACTTTTAGTTTATAAAGATATGTTGCTTGATTTTTATAGTTGTTTAATTTGGAGAGTTTTTGGTGGAAAACTAAACTAAAAATTAATATTTCTAAAAACAAGGGGTTGACATTAACCTTTTCATCAAGAATGATTACAAAATCAATACCTTTCTATTGCCCCAAAAGAGAATTAAATCCTTCTCCTACTAATGCACAATTTATAAAACAATAGGTCCCAGTATTGCTGGACTACCTAAGTGTTTTGCAACCCCAATTGTGTCAAACATTTTTTCCGGTTAATTATTCCGGAAGCGTCGGCACGTGATAAACATCCAATCTGCAATAGAAAAAATTTCAAAAAATTTCTTTGTTTTAATTGACACAAAGATCCCGGCGTTTTTTTCAAGCACGAAGTTGCCTGGCTAGCTCAATGGCTAGAGCGTTTGACTTTTAAGATCAATATCTTGAGAGGTATCAAAAGGTTGCGGGTTCGACCCCCGCGTCGGGCTTCCACTTCTTTTTTTGCACATCCCGAAGCTATATATGATGAGCTGGATTGATATTGATGGTAAAAATGGTTGAAAAGTGTATAGAAATTGATTTGGTTGAATTTTTGTAATTTTCGACTTGGGAAATCTATCGAAAATCTAAAAAAGTTGTCTGTATATACTCAAGTTGCATATCTTGCTAGGTACCGTGTAATAGAGAGTGATATTGTATGGTTTTTGTAAAATCGTGGTCAAGAAATGACTACTATTTCCTACTGTTTCCACGTGCCCCACCACACTTCAAGAGAAGGGAAGAAAACATCCCTTCAGAAGGATCTCCAGCTAGGGTTAGTTCCTAAAGATTAGGGTAAACAAAGCGCGAAACGTTTTTACTCCCAAATTTCTCCTTGGGAAAGTTCAGGCAGGTTGATGTTGTTTCTCAACAACTCTTCACAGTTGTTGACTCATCTCATCGACTGAAATTTTTTCGCCGAGACTGAAATTTTTTTCGCAACCATTTTGAAACCACATTTCGGTGGAACGTCAGATTTTGAATTAGGCTTCATATTAAACATAGGAAATAGTAATAAGCAAGATAGACATTCCAATAATAAATAAGACGATATTCCAACACAAGGAGAACTCGAGGTGACAAAAGAAATCAAAAATATTTATAAACTTACACAAAAGTTGAAAAAGGAAAAAAATGTGTCGCAAAACCAAATATTATGAGTTGATTTCGAGGAATATTTTAATTTCAACAAATGGAGGGTTGGCCGAGTGGTCTAAGGCGGTAGACTTAAGATCTACTGGACAGTGTCCGCGCGAGTTCGAACCTCGCATCCTTCATTATTTTTGTCAATTTCTTCAACCTACACTTATAGGATCATGAAATTGTTCATATTTCAATTTTTTGAGTGTTGGAAAACTGTTTGACAGCGACAATTTTTTTTCCCAAATCTTAAACGAGGAATTTTTTTTTGGGGCAGGCCGATCTAAAAAAACTCAGGGAATTTCTTTGTATTTGGCAATCATTACCCCCAATTGTTTAAGATAGGTATCGTAGAGTAGCAACGATCGCCACCCCCCTCCTTCTCTTACGTCGTATCTGTACGAGAGTTTCAACCTGAGTATAGTAAAGAATTGTTGGCAAAAGGAGGGGGAAATCAACAACGGCAAAAAGAACAATGCGAAGCCCGGCATAATCGGAGACTTGTTTCGGAGTTGCCTGGAAGATTCTACGTATGACAATAATTGCAATGCTAATAGCAATCCACTAATCAAGAAGTCTGCCTATTCATAATGAAAGGTGACACGTAAACATTCGTATATACTTGTAAAATCAAAACTAGGGCTATGTCGCAAAAACATGGGTTATAAGAAGGCGATGAGTATGCTCGCTAGTGTTAACTTTGCCGTTTAATTTTGATTTTCGAGGGTAAGCAAAATTCAACGAAAAACCACCGACATTCTCCGGGGTTCTCATCCAATTAAAGTGATGGAAAAACTTAATTTTGTATGGAGACAAAAGATTCGGCGGAATTGGTTGACTACCGGAATTGAATTTCTTGGGGAAAATAAAAAACTTTTCCAAATTTTGGGCCGGTAGTCTCTTCGCTGCGTCTCCACTGAATTGACATAAAATTCTTTTCGAAATACACACAACACCGGTTGGAATTTATAATCTTCTTCTTTCTAGAATTAAGTATTCAACTAGATCCCCATCCCTCCATATCTTATATTTCAACTTATAAATACACAACCATCATGTTGTCTAGAAGTATTAAACAATCCTTGAAACGTGCTCCAATTAGAGCTTTATCCACCTCCGGGTTGAAAGTTGCCAACATTGCATTAACCAGATCCATTCACATTCAATCACAACCTTCTAATAGATCTATAAATAGACAAACCAATGGATTGAACTTCAAGCGTTATGCTTCCATTACTGTGAAGGTCCCAGATATGGCTGAATCCATCACCGAAGGTACTTTGTCTGCCTTCAACAAGGAAATTGGTGAATTTGTACAACAAGATGAAACCATTGCCACTATTGAAACCGATAAAATTGATGTTGAAGTCAATGCCCCAGTTTCTGGTACTATTACTGAATTCTTAGTTGCCGTCGAAGATACTGTTGAAGTTGGCCAAGAAATTATTAAGATTGAAGAAGGTGATGCTCCAGCTGGTGGTGCTGCTGCTGCTCCAAAGAAGGAAGAAGCCCCAGCTGCTGCTGCTGCCACCCCAGCTGCTCCAAAGGCTGAATCCAAACCAGCTGCTGCTGCTCCAGCTGCTCCAGCTGCCCCAAAGAAGGAAGCTGCTCCAAAAGCCGAAGCTCCAAAGAAGACCGAATCTGGTGCTGCCACTTTCACCAACTTCTCTAGAAACGAAGAAAGAGTCAAGATGAATAGAATGAGATTGAGAATTGCGGAACGTCTTAAGGAATCACAAAACACTGCTGCTTCATTAACTACCTTCAATGAAGTTGATATGACCAACTTGATGGAAATGAGAAAATTATATAAGGATGAATTCCTCGATAAGACCGGTATTAAATTAGGGTTCATGGGTGCTTTTGCCAAGGCTTCTTGTTTAGCTGCTAAAGAAATTCCAGCTGTTAACGCTGCCATTGAAAACAATGATACCCTTGTTTTCAGAGATTACACTGATATTTCTGTTGCCGTTGCTACTCCAAAGGGTTTAGTTACCCCTGTTGTTAGAAACGCTGAATCATTATCTATCTTGGGTATTGAAAAAGAAATTTCTAACTTGGGTAAGAAAGCTAGAGATGGTAAATTAACTATAGAGGATATGACCGGTGGTACTTTCACTATTTCTAACGGTGGTGTTTTTGGTTCTTTGTATGGTACTCCAATTATCAACATGCCACAAACTGCTGTGTTAGGTTTACATGCTGTTAAACAAAGACCAGTTACTGTTAATGGACAAATTGTTTCTAGACCAATGATGTACTTGGCTTTGACTTATGATCACAGAGTCTTGGATGGTCGTGAAGCTGTTACCTTCTTAAAGACAATTAAGGAATTGATTGAAGACCCAAGAAAAATGTTGTTGTTAGAATAAATTTTTGTATAAATTATAACACCTGCACCCACCAACTCCCACTCCCATCGTTTGACATTTGTACAGATATTCAAGAAAGGGCTTGGTTTATTTTTATTATTTATTCTCTCTCTTTATAATCGCATAGTCTAATTGAAGAAAAATATTCATATTTTGAATTATCCTCTCATTATCATTAATTATAAATTACAACAATAAGAATATGCAGCACAAACCCGGTTGGATAAATGTAAATATACTGACTCAATAATTTGGTCACATTCGTGCGGTTGCAACGAAGGAAATGAACACGACTCTTTAGATGACAGGGTAAACTTCCTGTCATCATCTAAGCCTCAAGTAGAATCTAAGGTTTTAACCTTTTTTACTTTAATTACTTGAAAGTATTTCCTTTCTGTCTTGATTTGGTGATGCATCTATGAAACTTGGTGAAGTTAATTGTTTAATTTGTTCTCCGTGCAGCATCGTGCATTTATTTTTTGTTGCACTAATTACGTTTGTTTACCTATTTCCTCATTAGGCAATTGCTGTGAAAAAAAAAATCCTTCAGATTTGGGATTTTCAGAGATCCTTTCTTCTTCTTCTTCTCTTTTGTTGCCTTGCGTTTCCTCCCTTCTTCCTTCTTACTTTTCCTCATTTATCCCCCCTTAATAGTTCCAAACCACTACCACATCATAGTTTCTTCATCATACATAGGTTGAACAAGTCAACAACAACAGATTTCAAGCCCCCATTTCTTTTCCATTCTTATTCTCTTTTCCGTGGAATACCCATTCAACATTTATAACAAGAGATTAACAAAATAACAACAACTCATCTTTGGTCAATTCCTTGAAAATAAGAAGAGACAAAGACGAGATGGACAGAATTAATATCTTTGAAGAAATCAATTCCAAACCAATTCCTTTACCTCATGAAAACTTTGATGAATATTTCAACAATCAAAATGACATAGACTTTTTATTCAATGAGACATTATCAGGTTTACAAGATCTAGATGTTCCCTCGGGTTACCTTCTAAAACAAGACAACAATAATAACAACAACAACTATGGTAAACAAAATAGGCATAGTAGACAACAAAGTGGTACCGCAATCTTTGGTTTTATTGAACATAATCGAGGTTTATCTATCACTGGTGTAGCAGGTGATTTATACAAAGCGTCAGGAGGGAAATCTATTGATTTCGGGAAATCAATCTCTCCAGGCGAACTAATGACTAAGTCAATGACACCATCTTTTCAACATCACCAAGCACAAGGTCCAAGTCAAGAAATCTTAGATCTTAATTTCGAACAAAAACCAATATTACTTCTAGAAGAAGATGAATTTGAGGAAGAAAACAAGATTACCAGGAATCACCTTATGCCCCAACTGTCTCCCATTAGGAAAGAAACAATTTCAACTCCACCGCCAACTTCTCTTTTAAAAAAGGGACCCAAACTGTTACCAAGAACAGCTAAACAGAATGAATATCTTGTGACAAATGCAAGTCCCAAAGCTTACAAGTTCCCACCGTCTCCAACTTCAGATAGAGAGAATAGGGTGCCTGTAATAAATAATTACTCAGCCAAGTATCTTCAGGAATTGTACAATCAACCTCCAAAGAATTATGTGGACGATATTTCGCCATTACTAGAACAGGAAAGTACTTTTGAAAACAACAAACCGCAATCAGCTCCAGGTATGGGTTATGTTCCTATTCCTGTACAGGAACCAGTCCCACCATCGCAACAAAGAAGACCCTCTGCAAAACAACAGAGTCCATTCAAGCCACAAGCTGAAATTGTCAACTATCCTGTTCAAAGCGCACAACCACAATTCACACAATTTTACCAAGACGATAGTTCTGCCAGAAAACTACAATTAAATAAATCCAACTTCAACGCAACATATTTACCCCCTCCATCGCCTCCATCTTCTGACTGGCAGGGCTCGCCAGAAGCTCCTTCACCATCCCCAAGTAGGCCTGTATTATTTCAACAACCTCCCAAACCATCGCCAGTTCATTTAAGTTTAAGAAATGAAGCGGTTAACTTCTACACGTCACAGTTCTTCTCCGATCCCCCGGATAACAACAATGGCTATAACACTCAATATCTTAGTCTGTCGCCACAACAGCAGCTAAGAATTCCTGTCCAAAATGTGACTTACAACCTCCAATCATCACCAATGTACAATAACAACCTCACATCTCAACTATCTTCCCTTAATTCATCCCCAGATAGATTCTATAGCAGTCCTATCCGCCCACCAGTGCCCATACCAGCACCATATGAACCCGTGGAAGATCCTAATGCTACTTTAAGAGCCCAACCTCTCCTCCCATCCACCCCAGTCAAGAACAATACAAACAAAATGAAAATCGAATGGAGTCCCGTTATTTCCCCAGAATCGAAAAATACACTCCAGAAACAAATCAAAGACACATCACCTAGACGAAGAGTTAAGAAGACCTCATTATTACCTCCAGGGGAATTGGATAATTATTGGATAGGTCCTGATGAAAACAAAGTATATACATGTACTTACAAGAATTGTGGTAAGAAATTTACAAGAAGATATAATGTGCGTTCCCATATTCAGACCCATTTAAGTGATCGTCCATTTGGATGTATGTATTGTCCAAAACGGTTTGTGAGGCAGCATGATTTGAATCGACACGTGAAGGGACATCTTGAGGCTAGGCATTGTAAATGTGATTGTGGGAAGGAGTTTGCGAGATTGGATGCGTTGAAGAAACATCAAGAGAGAAATATATGTGTTGGTGGATTCGGGAAGACTAATAATTGTGTGACGAAGCCTAAGAAGAGGACGATGAAGGTGTTGGATGCGTTGATGAGCGATAAATTGGAAGAACAATTGACTAGTGAACAACAACAGGCATTACTGAAGAGAGAACAAACTCCCAGTTCTGCTGCTGATGAGTTCTTGATTTACGATTGAGGTAAGAGAGGCTAGCTTTAATTTAATTTAACATCCACTTGATGTGTTTGTAGTTTTTATTTGTTTTACTTTATTTGGATATTGTATTTTGTACTTATATATTGTAACAAATTGCATTTAATTTTTCATTTCCTAAATACTTTAAATTGATATAATAGCCAATATAAAATGTAGTTAATATTTAAAAATATTAAAAAAATCACCATACCCAAAAGCTATAAAACTCTACATCCTTTCATTAAGTTCCCCATTTCCAAAATTAAAAAAAAACCTCTCACAAACTTTACGTGAGTCTAATATTGTATAAGCTATAAATAAACACTAGCAACTTTTCTTATTCCATTTCCTCAATTCCTTGCATCCTTTGTCGTTCCTCTTCTTCCTGTTTATGTATTTTCAAATGTTGATTCAAATTATCAGACCTACTAAACTTCTTATGACAAATCGTACAATCATATGGTTTTTCAAACGTATGCAAAGAACGGAAATGCCTTTTTAGATGTTCATGACGTTTAAATCTCCTCGAACAATAATTACATAAATAAATCTTAGATTGATCAACCATATCTGCTTCTTTATTTTCCTTACGTCCTCTAGTCCTATTCTTGGAATTAATTATTGAAGTAGGGAAAATCTTGGTATCGGGAGGTAAATCTAATGAACGTAAATCAACTTCAACTTCTACACCTTTAGATATCATAGTTGCTACTGGTGTGTCCAATGATGCTATAAATGCATCTTTTGGATTATTAACATGCTTGACATTAGATTTCTTCTTCAACATCAATTTCGATCCTAAAATTCTCTTTGATGCAGTAGCAAGGGTTGATGTAGTTGGAGTGATTCCAGATGCTGAATTCAGGGTTTCAGATTCCATCAGAGCACGAACATGACCAGAAGATGATACGTTGGAAGAAACAGCACTCATATTTTGTGAACTTGAGTGATCATCACTCTCATAATCGTCATCTTCATTATAGGATTGTTGCAGTTGTTGTTGTTGCAAAATCGAAGAATGCTCACTTCCATTTCTACTTTTTGAAGATTTTCCAAAATTCAATATGGATGATTTATCAACTGTCGAATTTGAATTATTAACACTAAGTGATTCTTCCTTTGGTTTCTTTGGTTTTCTATATCCCGACAGAACAATATTCTTTCTTTTCCCCATATTTTCAAATAATGCCGCATAATCTGGCTCAGAAGCTTGAGATGACGGTTGTTGTTGCTGTTGTTGCAGTTGGATTGCTTGTCGCTGAGATCCTCCAGACGCGGTATGCTCCAATTGATTACTACCAGTCGCTATCGACGGCGTACCACTCATAGAACCTTGTGCCGATACATTTCCACCAGTCATACTATTCACCGAGCTTGCATTATCTTGAGTAGTCTTAAGCTCTTCAACCGATTGCACTGCTGTTGTATCCTCCAAAGGAGGTTCAAGTTTAGATGGGGCTTTGAATCTAGTGAAAAGACTTCTTTTTGACCGTTTTGCCTTTTTAGGTGCAGTAACAATATTATCCATTGTTTCATATTCAGGTTCTTCTTTAGTCGGACTCATCATTAAGAAATCGTGGTTTTCACTTGCACCACCGCTACCGCCATTTTGCAAGAATGACAGTTGAACATAGTTCATATCCTGGTCATTTTCAGTTTCCATTTCATTCATGTTGTTTAATTCTGATACAGCCACGCCATTATTATTGCTGTTGTTTCCATAATTTGTACTCTTGAATATAGTCCTTAGCAAATGCCTAGATGGCTGACCTGGTTGCTGTGGCGGTGTATTTATTAAATTCTGGGGCGATGAGGATGAATTTGGAGGTGATCGTTGTTGATTTTTATCACTCATAAATGGCAAATAATTGCTGATGGAGGTCGTGAAGCTGTATTTCGGATTTCGTTGTTGTTGTCGCTGAGGAGTTTGTTGTTGACTATCAATCGACGTTCTATTTGTATTGAATGCGTCTATAGATGGACGATGTAAGGAGCTTGGGGGTTGTTCAAAGGAATTCCGTGAAAAATATTGCTGGGCAGAAAAGAATGATGGCTGTGTTGAATGTAATGAAGTTACTGACGGCGTATGGGAAGTAGTTGTTGTCAACGGAGATAATTCATTAAACATATTCTTATTTTGCATGTTAATAGGTTGTGGGGTTTGTTGTTGAAGTGGATGCATTTGATTTTCTTGTTGCTGTTGGAGCTGTTGTTGTTGAAATTGCTTCTGCATATTAATAACATTAGCCGCATAATAACTATCTATGGATCCATTTCTTAGCCTTCCATGAGAATAACTATGAGAATCTTCATCAAATAGATGGAAATCCCTTCCATTTGTAAATAATGAATTGCCATGGGGTGCCATTGGAAGATTATGTGAAGATGAAACGCGAGAACTAGTATCAAATGGACTCAACGCAGCATTTTCCGGTGTTAAATGATTATTTGAAGGTTGAGGAACTGATAATTGATTTTTGAATAAAGAATCGGAATCTTGATTATGAATTTGAGCATTTGTTACTATTGAATTATTATCTAGATGACGTTCAAACCCTAAATCCAGTTCTATTGTGAATGGAGGTGAATTATCGATATCCATATTATCATTTACAGTTTTGAACGCTCCAGGCATATTTATTGTAGGTCGATAATTCTGATCTTCATATTTAGGAAATAAAGTCAGCTGTTCTTCTTGTTGTTCGTGTTGAATTTGGGAATGAAACATTGCTTGGTTTGCTTCATCCTGGGAGTATATCAGTTGTTGTTGCTGTTGCTGTTGCTGTTGCTGATGTTGTTGCGTTTGTGGTTGTGATGGTGGTTGTATATTAAATTCGATATCCATATCATTGAATCCAAGTGGTGATTCTAAATTTGATAGCATATGGCTATTATTATTTGATGATTTATAAATGACATTATTATTATTACTATTATTGCTATCTTGTTTTGAACTCAAAAAGGAATCGGATGGTTGTAATCCAAATTGATTATATAGACCATCATAATTCTCTTGCATTTGTGAATCTTTTGATTGGATGCCTTGTTGAAAGGTGGCAGTGTTCTGACGATTATTATTATTTCCTGGTTGGTCCGGAAACATCTGTAAATTCGACGTAAACTCGTCTATTTCCGGATTCATATCCATGACTGTTTAATATGGTTAACCCTACGATGATGAGTATATTATAATCTCTTACCAATATAAATCTGATTTATTAAATAGAAAGTTATCGGTTATTGTAAATATTTTTGTTATCAGGGTTATGATGAATTTATTTAAAAAAGTGTAAAAATTAGATTAGTTTAAGTGGTGGTTGTTAAAAAAAAAAAAAAAAGAGGCATTGACTTTTAATCTGTCTGTCTGTCTGTACGGTAGTAGTGGTGATCACTCAGCAATAAAAATTATAAAAACAAGGGAAACCTTTTTTTTTAAAAAAAAAAAAGATTTTTTCCGCTGAAATTTTTAATAATAGTAAATTGGTAGCACTGCCAGTTACGGGAAATTTAGGAATTATTATACGTATGGGCTTAACAACCAGATGGAAACTATACCTAAATAGGAAGCGATTGCAATTTTTCGCTTTTACATTGTTATACTAATATTATTACAATTATGATATAATAAAACACGATAAAGTTTAACAATGGACAAAAACAGAAATGGCACAACTATTTCAAATTTCTTTGTTTTAACCACATGTAGGCTGGGGTTAATTATGCACCTGTTACCCCATAAACACATAGCCACATCAGTGTTCCTGGTTTTAGATTTAACTTATTTTACAATATTAATTAATTAATTAACTTAATTTACTAAACTAATACAAACTCTTTACATATATATACTAGAAATTCAAACAATTATTTTTGACCTGAGGGAATTCTTTGTCTTAGTGACGATGTTGAAGATGTAAAATCAAACTCATCTTCCCAAGTATCATCCATTGTATGTTCATCTCCCTCGGCCGTCTCCCTCGCGTTCAATGGCTTATTTTCATTATCGTCATCTTCGGCCAATTCAGTGGCGTCAGATGCCTTTCGTGAATCTGGATTCACAACTCTCAATACTGACCTTCGCTTACTACTCACCAATACTTGAACATCAACTTGTTCATCCAAAGACGTTGTATCAGACAATCCTTCTATCTTCCTTTCCCTCTCATGAGGACTTCTAAATTTCGAACGTGTTGATAGCAGTAGATATTCAAGTTTATTTCCATTGGGCAATCTCTTAAACTTTTTACTTAATGGGGTTGATGGAGTATCTGTAAATGAGAATGATTTTGTTAGGGTCTTTATCGATTTATTCATTACAGCAGCTTGAGGAACACTCAATGAAGTAACATCAAATTCTGAAGTGCTTGAACTTCCACCTGAATTTTCTTCCCTGTCTTCCTCATCTTCATCATCTACAACCCTTTCACCAGCAAAATCTCTCTGTCGTCTTCCCATCATTGGCGCATCACTGTCAGTACTCAAAGTCTCATTGGATGCAAGATAACTATGTCTTATTTTCTCAAAATCTTGTCTCTTTTTCATCCATGAATCAATTGAAGCACTTTCTAAAGTCGAATTAGCATCACTGGCATATAATTGAGGTTCAACTATAAACGATGAACTATGGATATCTTCATACTTATAATCTATTTCATTATATGCTCTTTCATCTGGACTAAGCTTATTTTTATTCCGCCTCTTTATCAAATACACTATTAAGACACCAATAATAATCGACATGAACCCAAGTGGGAACACAGTACCAAATATAATCTTGTTATTCACCCCCAGAGACGACGACGATGACGATGAATCATCAGAACTACTGGAAGTCAATGATTTGGTATTTCCCTTCAAAGATGTAACCGGTTTGAATGACCCAGTATCCCAAAGATTAATCTTATAACTATCGTCTCTCTTCCTATTGGTGCTTGTAGAATTTATAACAACCAAAGTATCAAATATAGTAGCTGCTCCCAATATCTCATCCCCGTTAATTCCATTAGTGACATTCGTATCCCAAGACCAATTAGTACTGTCCAATGACAACTTGACAAATTCAGGAGTTGCTGCCATCCTCTTATCTCCATCTCCACTCTCCCCTCCAATCAAAAGAACTTCTTTTAACATGAAATCATTGTATAATAATTTCTTATTCTTCAATGGATCAAATATTGGTAATGCTAAGGCAAATTTCCTTGAATTCAATGTTTCTGACGCATCGGCCAATTTGATCTGCTTAGAAGACCAACCAGAATGGAAATCCCAAGTGGCTAATTGACACATATTTAACCACCCATTACTCAGCTCTCCTCCAATAACCAATTGTGCCTGTGGATTGGGAGCAAGCAAATTGGCTGCTCCGTAGAATGGTTGAGGTTGAGTAGAAGTTAAGATTGAATTTGCTTTATTGGACAGAAAATCAATGGAAAGCATTCTTGAAGAAATGGACCCCGATTTGTCACAAATCCCTCCATAGATGTATATTGTGGTTGTATCTTCTGGATTGGTGAATATTGTAGGATATCGATAGAAGGAACCATCACTGATGTTGTTTGTATTCAAACTTATGGGTGATGTCCATTTATTTTTATTTTCTTGGAATTTTATAATTGAGATTGTTCCATCTCCACATAAATCTTGGTCATCACCCGTTTTTGACGTTAAAGCGTATAATCCTTGGTTTAAAATAAATAATGTTGAATATTCCGGTGGAGGTGTCAAGGTATCTATTTCTTGATTATTATTCAAATTGAAATATTGTAGACTGTCTTTATCAACATCATCAAATCCTGTGATTGAAAAGTTAAGCCTTAGCAATCCATTGTTTTTCAAATGTACATATATTTTACCTGATTCATAATCATAGAGGGTATTCCAAGTACTCTCCAATTCGGTCATTTTTCAGTAGTGGTTGCAAAAGAAACAAAGAAGTGTTTTGGGTTAATAAACTCAAAACTTACAAAGATGATATTAATTGAAAAACTTACAAACAACAGGTTAACTCATTTTTTAAGCACAGTACTTCTCGAAGCTACAGAGGCAGGGGAACGCCCATCCACAATTCATTGTGTATGTTTCTAACCAACAATGACCTTAAAAAATCAATTGTTGACATTCTGTCCCAATTAGGAAAGTGAGGTTAACTTAAGGTTGGTAAAAAAAAAAAATTTGTTGCAAACGAAATTCATCAACTACAATGGAATGAAATTAGGTCATCTCTAGATCTGCTTCAGAAGTATGTAGTATCATGTTTTAATGTGGTATGTAGCCTAGATATCTTCTTGTTCTCATTTTTGAAAATTTCATTTCAAAATTATCTTGGCTCTGGGTCTCAGGCTAGCCCTGGAATATTCAATCTTGGTTTAAGCAAGCAAAGTCACTAAATCCCTAAATTCCCAGGATACGTCAATTTGTATGACATATACTGCAGTTCGTAAACAAGATCTAGTTGTCATTGGAACACATTTCGTAAATGCAGCTCTTATAGAATTCTTGAAAAACTGTAGCAAATTCTTCGTCAAGTAGACCCGTCAGGGTGAAGGCAAAAAAAAATGTTGCCAAAGAATGCTACCAAAAAAAAATTTGGCAACTCAGTTCTCTCGCTTTTCCTTCCTTAATTCTTTAATAAAAGCAATACAACTCTTCCAAAATGCCCAATCATACTTTATCAGAAACTAATATCCAAGATCTAATTGCTGAGAATAAAAAGATAATTCTAAGATGTCCATTCAAGGAATGCAACACTAGAATAATCGCATATTCATCCAAGCTAATTACCATCACAGCATCACATGCCCCACAAACAATCAAAACAACCTCTCCGGAATCATCTCCTACAATTGAACAAACAACTGACTTCTATCAAATAAAAGATGTATGGGATTTTGATAATATTGGTGTAAGTAGACCCACTGATGTTTTGGATGAACCAGTGGTAGGTCATGATGAAGTACATGTGAAATTAGAGAGGTTGTTGATTTGTAGTGAATGTGAAACGGGTCCACTTGGATTTGCTGGGATTCCAATTGGTTCGGAAACTGATCATAGGAATTTGCAATATTTTTTGAGTTGTAATAGTGTATTATATGATTTTTAAACGGTATGTTTTCTCACGAGGGGATAGGGTTAAAAGTTAATCATAGACTCATAAATTGACTGTTGGTCTTGCATCTTTGGGAGAGTTGCACAACAACTTTCATAAAATTGCAATTCTATGAAAATTTATGATTCCTTGATGTAGCTTTATATGATCTATTTGAATGATTTGCTTGCTATTAGAGACTGGTATTATTGGTAAGTATTCAAGAAAGATAACTTGCCCATTGGACCATAGTTGGAGGGTAGAAGAAACAAGCTACAGTTTGCGTTCCAGTTCTGTTATTAACACATCTTGTCAGTAGTGTCAAGCTGATAATATATTCTTACGAAAAAAAAAATGGTTGCAACTTTCGGAAATATAAATTCCCAATTGCAAAAAAGCCACTGAATATTTGTACTCCTTTCTTCTTTTATTATTACAAACATTATTACAAACATCTCAATGAATATGTATTCCAAGCTTTCAAAAACATTCCAAATATCTGATTATTCCATACCAAAATTATTGTCCCCTAAAGAGTTTTTCAAACTCGAAAGCACGGCAAAGAAAAAGTACTTCCGTCTGTTGTTTCAAAAACACCAAACTGGCGCCAGAGAAATTTGCAACGATCTTCATGTAAAACCAACCACAGAAACATCGAGTTCCTCAATTTATCCTAGTGGAACATCGAGTTTCTCAGTTTATCCTAGTGGAACATCGAGTTTCTCAGTTTATCCTAGTGGAACATCGAGTTCCTCAGTTTAGTCTGATGCTGCAGTTATTGCTTCTATTACCATTCTACAGCCTGCTGAAATTGAGTCGCCTATTGAAAACGACTTCATCCAGAATCTTGTCCGGTGAACAGAAATTAGATATTATGTCGAAAGAAAACAAAAAAACAAACTTGGGAAGATCAACCGATTTTCACCCCCCTGCTATGAATGCCGCTTCTGCTAACACTACTCCTACTACTCCTACTACTCCTACTCCTACTTACTACTACAACAACAACTACTATTACTGCTACTACTGCTGCTGCTGCTGTTGCTACTACTGCTCCTCCTCCTGCTACTACTGCTGCTGCTGTTGCTACTACTACTTCTCCTCCTGCCACTACTAAGAATGCAATATTGGTTTCCATTGATAATCAGGAAGAAGAAGAAGAAGAAGAAGAAGAGGGAATTAACTTGCAAGCTTTAAAAAACATCAGTTATTCATTCAGATTTAAATTTTATATCAGCAAAGCCAAGAAGCATTACGAAAGGTTGAGTATCAAACGTCCCAATGATAGTCAAAATTGTACATGTTCTTTTCCATAAAGAATGTTATAGATGACATGGACATCTTTGAATTCTCCATTCAAGAAAATTGTGATCTATTATTTGGAGATACTGTTGGTGGTGCGGTGCTTTCAAACCAATTAGACCATTTATTCCGTTGACAGAGACTGTCAACACTAAGTTTGCTACATTTGATACAAGTAATAGACCTACAGATCCTGTAGCCTTTGATCTCCTAAATGCTATCAAATATGAGGAAAGGATCTATGGAAGACTCTTTGGCATTGCTCCATGCGTCCAAATTTTTCCATCCAGGTGTCCAAATTTCTGCACTGGTTACCTCCCACACCTACAACAAGTCCCGTTCTATTTACATCCCACCACTCCATAACTACCAATACTTTGAAGAAAGACGGGGATTGTGGATACGTGGAATCCATCATAGATACTTATAGTCTAGGGATTCATGTTATACCAATTTGGAGGATCTCGAAGTCACTTTTCGATCTTGATGTTCTTTTTGTTCAATGTTTGAGTCCATAAATTCAAAACTAAATCTGCAATCCGTAGAAGGCTATATTGATACTTCGGATATTCAAATAGCTATTGGTTGGTGGACATGGTTATATGGGATTTAAATGGGAGGATCCACGAGATGTTTTTTATTTATTTGATTATTTTAGTTTTTAATAAATTTTATTGTTTTAAACAAGAAATCGACTTCAGTAGTACTTCATGACTCTAGCTAGAATATGACGAAGTGATGCATCGTGACTCAAGCATTAGATCTATTTCTTCATAGTGAATGCAACCCGTTTTTCATTTTGGGTAGCGCATCCAAGTGATCATCATTTGATCTGGAACTGGGAAACTTATGAAGTTGTGATCCATATGCAGTTTATTTATCTGACAGGTAAATCGGCTCAAAGAATCACAAATGGCATATACGTAAAATACCAATTAGTAGCGTCGACGGCATTGGGCTCGGATGCCGTGTACCATTGGCGATGATACTAGAGAAATTTTATTTAAATGCAAAGAGAGACAGTTTGGACTAATTGGGCTTATATTAGGCACCGAGACTAGCCCGGAGGATTTCTTTGAAATTTACTTGGCGATTATTGCGATATTTATTTTGCAGAGTAGAATTTAAAGTAGCAAATACAGATAATAAGTACTTTCTATACCATCATAATTTAGCCTTTGGTCTCAAATCCTTAGCAATATTCAACGCCACATATCTGGCCATTGCCATAGTAGTAATCATAGGATTAGCCCCACTAGCAGTTGGCATAGCACTCGAATCAGCAATATAGATATTAGAACATTCGAAAAGTCTACCCTTTTCATCACAAGCACCATATTTGGGTCCTTTACCAGACATGCGGCAAGACGACATTTGATGAGCTGACCCATACGCAGTTCCATAACTATCCAAAGTGATCTTAGAAACAGCAGTTCTCCATTCAACATAATCCCTATCTTCTATAGTTCTTTGTTCCTTAGGAGTGTTGGACTCAAAAATAGGAATCCAATGTTGAGGACTGATGATTCTTTTGGCACCCTGGATATACAACATATCAGAAGCGGTCAAAAGGGCTTGTAAAAGGGCATTACGGTCATATTTGTTGACAGTATAATCAATCATCAAAGCTTCAGGTTTAGATGGATCGGCTCTGACACTTCCCGACGATTTATCACGAGTGATTAACAACATGGTAGTTAAGTTATTATAACGTAAGATATCTCTACGTGTGGCATCACTACCATCCCAAGGCAAAAATACACCTTGAATAAATGGTGCATTTAAGATTGTTTCAATCTTTGCTCCATGAGCTTTACCATCCAAATCATCAACTTCAGTACAGACCGATGTCATTATAGGCTTTTCGTACGCTTTTGCAACAACATCCTTTCCAAAATCCCCAGCCACACAAGAAACAGGATGTAATTTCAAATTTTTACCAATGTGTCTATTCTTGAAACCAGAATTTTGCAAAACGATTGGCGTATGCAAACTACCTCCAGCTACAATGTATTTCTTTGGACCAGTAATTCTAAATTTAATTCCAGTTATCGTATCTTGACATAAAACACCAATGGCAATACCATTTGAATGAAGAATCTGAATCACTTTAACTTCTTGCATGAATTTCGATCCGTTTTCAGCTGGAGCTCTAAACCAATTAGCAGTAGCCCCTTGTTTGACACCAAACTTGCAACCTAAATAACAGAATCCACAAGAGTGATCTGGATGACCTCCAGTATTTTGGGCACCTACTTTCAGTTTATAACCCAACTTCTTTCCACCTTCAATGATAACTTCATTCGCAAGGGAAGGTGTATTAATGTTTTGGTCAGAAACCCCCATTTGTTCAAATACATAATTCTGACATTCATCGTAAATATCACTAGCAACAAAATCAAGTGCGAAATCATCATACCATTCCTTCCTAACTTTAAATGGTGTCTTGAGGGACATGCTCCAATTGACTGTTGAACCACCTCCAAAATTAGATCCGGCTAAAATGAAGATTTGTTGGTTCAAGGATGCAATGGTTCCAGAATTTTCATATAATGCATTCACACCCTCGTAATCGTTAAATTTCAACTCGGATGGGTGGTAATATTTCCCTTTTTCAAGAACTAAAGATTTGTATCCTTCTTTGGCTAACGTATGAGCAACTACACCAGCACCACTTCCAGAACCAATAACCAAGGCATCAATTTCAGGTAAGTGTAATTCAGAACCTTCTTTTATAGGCTTGTCTAAAAATTCATATCTGAATGGATCAACTTGTTGGCCCTTGTAAAGAGTTTCACGTAGTTCTCTTCCAGGATACCCAATAGCTTTTAAGTGCAAGTCATTAGCTAATAAGACAAATGTTGACATAGTAACAGAATATATAGATCTAAACAATCTTCTCTTGAGTGGAACTGGAGAATCACGCCAGGAAGCTAACAACTCCTCACGTTGCTTTAAAGTCATATCAGTTATCAAAGTCATGGAGTTGGTAAATAATGGACTAAATATCCTCGAGCGCAAGGCGTTCATGGTTATAACAAATGAGGTAACTGAACTTGTGGGTGTTTTATTAAACACAGTAGTAATCTGTTCTTTGAATGCTGGAGTTTGTGAAGGACGAGTGAATGTCTTGACATATTCTTCCAACTTTTCTCTTGGGAAGTCTGGTGAAACCAAATCTTTAATGTTTTCAACTGAAGTTTCATGGACTATCCCATCAGCTAAAGCTAAAAAGGTCTCAATATGTTTATCTTCGGCAATAACTGGTAGCATGGTTGATTTCTTAAGGGTGACTAAATTATGTTTTTAAATAAATAATCTCGAGTAAATGAACGGATAAGTTGACGGAAATATCGATATATTTATATTCTCTTTACTGAACCCGTCAGATGGCTTTGAGTTAATTTGCTATAAAAAATCAGATGATGAAAAGCTAAAGGCTAACCCCAGCATTCTGGTTCGATAATTGGCATATTATATAAAAATGGCCAAACTTTATATTGTTCCTGGTATTTTTCTTAACCCCTTTAGGTAGTTTCCTGTGAAATTTTTTATCCCCAAAAAAGCCGGAATCATATGCAGATCTCGGCATGTTTGCTTCATTGTTCAAAGACAGATTGTGGGGATGTCGTCAAAATCCAGAGGAAGTCCCAATTCTTGTTTCAATACACTTTGAGGCATACCAGTGAGATACGAAAAGTAACCGAGAGCAGTCTCTAAAGTCTCCGTATAGAACTCAATACTTGATTTTAAAGTCCCCACCATCTCCGTTTGCTTTGCAAACATGACCTTTTCCTCCAAACATTGTATACGAGATTGAAGTTGTTGTGCTTGATCAAGCATTAGTTGTCTATTTGTCATAGTATTACGATTATTTATAGCAGCAGCCAACTCCTGTTTTAAATCCATTAGTTCCATTTCTTTGACACCGTGTTCTTCTTGAAGTCGTTGAAAGTTGTCAGAACAGTTTTTAAGTTTACTATACTCAAAGCTCCAATATAGATTCGTAATTCCACTTTTCTCTTGTTCAACCAATCCATCATTCACTAATGCCATTACCAAATCTTTGATTTGCATGGGAGGAATCTTACATTGTTTACTTGCTTTCTGTTCAATTTCTTTAAGCGTATAGAAGTCGTGTGATGATTGAAACCATTGAAGAAGCTTGTGTTGCTTTTCTTCTTGAGAGATTCCTTTCTTTATTGGTGTCATTGCTTCTATTCAAATGATAAGTTGGGAAGGGAAGGAATATTTGTTGCAAAAAAAAAATATGTCTCCAGATCCTTCAACAAAGTGCCATTTAACTATGAGATGAAAAAGAGTAATACATTTCTTTCTATAAATAGAATAATCTCTACTAAACACCAATCCTATACCTCTTCATTGTCCCCAATAACTTTGCTGACCAGTTCCTGCTCCTTGTTGTCGATAAGGATACATTTGTTGTTGTTGTTGTTGTTGCTGAGTTGGTGCAAATCCCGTAAATTGACCCGGTTGCGCCAGTCCTGGCTGGCCCTGTTGAGGGAATTGTCCTTGAATTTGAGGAGCAAATCCGGTCTGTTGGAAACTAGCCTGATTGAATCCAAACTGTTGTTGTGGTTGTTGTTGTTGTTGAGGGACTTGTTGTTGCGGAACTTGCTGTTGCGGAAGCAGTTGCTGAGTTTGTTGTCCTTGTGGAACTTGAGATACAGGTGCTGCCACATTAGTCATGAATTGGGTTGGCTGGTTGTACAAAGATAAGATACCTTGTTTTGCAGTTTGCTGAGCAACTAATTGTGGGTTGGTCATTTGCATCAATTGTTGTTGATGTTGTGGGTTGTTTGGATCCAAATATTCTTGTCCATTCGAGTCAATATATGAGACTTGTCCAGTAAGAGGATCAGTATATTGATAAATCTGTGGAGTACTTGATGCTGGAGGAGCAGCAGCGGCACCATGTGGGTTCCACCACTCATTAGCTTTTTGTTGTTGTTGCAGAGCTCCAGAGGAGCCGGTTGGAGTAATACCAGCAGCAGATGGGGTGGCAGCACCACTAGCAGTTGAAGAAACGGTAGGACGTCTTGGTAGATCAGGAGGCCTCTCAGTTTTATTGGGATTGATTTTAGATTCTTGTTCTAAGATATCAAGTGCTTTATCTATGTTTCCATTTGTTAGTAACAAACTTTCTAAAACTGCATCCTTATCATTGTATCCAAATCCCATAATTTTGGAAACTTGCATTGGATACTGAGTATATTCAAATGTAGTTAACTTTCTATAAGTAAGTCTAGGAATTACAGTTCTACTTGCTGCACTATTTGAGCGCAGTCTTCTGTTCACTTCTTCTTCACTATATTTGCTTGAACGATCATCATAGTCCGCGTTTTCGATATTGTCGTCACGGAACTTTCCATTAATATACTTATCTCTGATATATTGTTCAACAACTGTAACATCATCATCTGCATCATATGGGAATGGAACTCGTTTTGGGTTCCACTTCTTTTTGGCTTTTTTATTTCCAATTCTTCTCAAATTCTCCATTTGCTGTTCAGTCCAAGTGTCTAAAGTCAAGGATTTTACTTTAGAAATATCCTTGTTTGGAGGACCTAGAAGCTTTCTATGAACAGAGGCACAACGGCCACATAAGAGAATTCCCAAGTTGTATGAGGCCCATGTTGGATATGAATTGCCACACTCTCCACATTTATTCTCATTCACTCGGCTATTGACAATATCAATCAATTGCTTCTCGGTATTCTTCTGTTGCTTTCTCAAAGACATGACACAGTATTAATCGTACTTCTCCTCGAGTGTGATTGATTAAAAAGAAGTGACGTCTATTAGTGAGCGAAAATTACACATAATTTATTTTTTTGTTCGTTGAAAACAGATTGGGTTACACACTGACTCCGCTGGCATTGTTCACATAGTGAGCTAGTAAACGACTTATACGATTGTACAATATACAGTTAATTCAACTAGGAAGTGCTTATAATGACTTGCTTAATTGTCGGGCACAAGAAGCAGTGAGAACTCCATGACTATTTATTCGAAGATATGTATTTATCTACGCTTCTATAAATCCTATATACTGAAAACATAACCTTCAGGGACAGTTATCCAAATAGTGAAACTGTCGTATACTCTCCTTTCTTGAGACTTATAAATATTTCATCTACGTCAATGTCAATATCTTTTACCAAATCGGCAAAATTGATCTGTTTAATGGCCGCAGCAGCCCGTTCAAATTCCGCATCAGATAACTGCTTGTGCTTCAATTTTCCAATCAGAATAGTAATATGCTTCGGTCTAGTGTCCTCAACACTATAGTCTGGCTTAGTACCAAGCTGTTGACAAGCCTCATCCATTAAATTCTCAATTTCAGTAAAGTACGAATCCATTTCTAGATCAGTCTTAAGGTCAGCCATCACGAATATTTGATCAGCCATTCGACCTATCCTTAACCTATCCTTAAAATGAAAACGAAGAAATTTTTGTAGCAGTATATTTGCATCGGACGGAGGCTTGACCATTTCAAACGCATTCAAAAAAAACTCCTGGAAATGGTCTATCTTCCATGAATCAACCTGGATTCCCGGGTATAACGTAATATGATAACCGAGAGCGTCATCGCTAGTGTCCATATGTGAGAGGGTGAATTTGTAGTTCTTCGTAAGCGTCGGTATTTCCTCCATAACCCGACTTTGAATCTGTTCGATTTGAAAGCAAGTCTTCGCAGGTGGTCTCCATCTTATGCAAGGAAATATAGTCGTTCTCTGAGTAGACTTTCCAACGTTATGAAAATTTTGCAGATATATATCTATAGCTAGTGGGGGTGGAAGTGCTACTGAGGTTGGCCCTGGAAGTTGACTAACAGAAACTGCATGTTCCTCCTGCTCCTCGTCCGAGTCCGAGTCCGATGTATACTGTTTAATTAGATCCATCCATATTTAGTTTTTTTCAAGGTACTTTCCCACTTCTTAGTAGATTAAGGATAAAACTTCACAATTATATAGAACTCAAATTCTTTAGGGCCATTCCCATTCAAGTGTTCTCTATAAAACCATTTTTTCGTTTCCCTCAGTTTTGTACCACAATGTTAACGAAAAAAATTTTTGTTACAGCGACCAAAAAATTTTTCATTACCCAAAAACAAATGTAAGAATTCATATGTTCATAATGGACAGGTAATATGATAAAGTAGGACAAAAAGAAAGTGCCTTCAGCCAGATTCGAACTGACGATCTCCTCATTACTAGTGAGGTGCCTTACCAACTTGGCCATAAAGGCTTTAACGAAATTTTTTATCAACAAAGTGCCTACAGATTATGTTGAAAGTGTTCCAGTAATGCAGGAAATAGATGATTTTTACTTTCAATTAGCTCCATTCTGAGCCAAAGCACCAGTAAATGACATAGAGACCCCGACAGCGTTTCGTAAAAAAGCAATAGTAATGTTTTTAATGATAGGTTTTTTAAGTTGGCCACCTATTTCGAGGATTTCCTCCAGGGGTATAGCTTTGTTATAACCAATATGAAAGATATTTTGCAGCTTCTATATCTATTTGATGCTATCTTTAGACCACTTAAGGAATATAAAATTCTATTGCTATTACATTTCTTCAGTGTAACTACATATGTATGTTTTATTGTAAAAAAATTGTGAATCAATCGCAACAAATTTTGCAATCTTTTAGAGAGAAAAAAATATCCTGCTGTATGTCATTCTTAATTTAACGTTTTCTGGGGCTAGCAGATTTTGTGACTTAACAATGCCTCTAGAAAGGAGAGTATGATGTCACATTTACAGCATCTCACACTATTATTTGAGACGAAATATTGTCCAAAAATGATGCCCGTTTTGTTTAGTATTTGTTGGATCAAAATGTTGAATTTATTATTAATTTTTGATTATTATCTATATATTACAACCTTTTATTAAAACTATAAACAAAACATATTTTAAAACTAATTACCTAGTTAACTCTTTTAATCTAATCCTGGCGTAACAAGACGTTCACCATCAAAAACAGAATCTTCATCGTCTGTATCTTCCCAATCTTCAACGTCAACGTCCATATCTTCGTCTTCAAGCTCATGGTTTGGCAAAACTTCCAATCCTTTTTCTCCCACAACAACTCTAGCTGTTTCTTTATCTTTAATTTGTCCCTTCAATAATAATACTGCAAGCTTGTTCAAAATTTCTTGTTGGATCAAACGGTTCAATGGTCTAGCACCTAAATCTGGAGACCAACCATTCTTTGTCAAGTATTCCATAGCAGCATCGTCTACTTCTAATTTGATTGACTTGGAGTTGGCAGCAAATCTATCTTCCACTTCCTTTAATCTAAGCTTAACAATCTTTGCAATAGCTTTTCTTGATAATCTATTGAAAATAACAGTACTTGAAATACGGTTTAAGAATTCTGGTCTGAAATGGGATTTAAGTGCAGTCATAACCAATTCCCTTGTTTGCGAATCAATCTTGTTTCCTCTAGAATTCTTAAGGAATTCAGCCCCCAAGTTGGAAGTCATCACAAAGATAGCATTGGAACAATTCACCAACTTACCTTGTGAGGAAGTGACTCTTCCATCATCAAGGATTTGTAATAAGACTGTTAAAACTTCTGGTGCTGCCTTTTCAACTTCATCAAATAACACGACTGAATATGGTTTTCTTAATAATTGTTCAGTTAAAATACCACCTTCTTCATAACCGACATAACCAGGAGCAGCACCTAATAACTTCGATGCCGACCATTTATCACCAAGTTCAGAACAATCAATTCTAATCATAGCCTTTTCATCAGCAAATAAGAACCCAGCAAGTTTCTTAGCAAGTTCTGTTTTACCCGACCCGGAAAGACCGAGGAATAAGAATGATGATGGTTGATTTGGATTAGATAAACCAGATCTATTCAATCTAATAGCATTGGATACAGCCTTGACTGCTTCTGATTGACCTACGACTTCGGATGATAAGACCTTTTCCATATTTATCAATCTAGTATTTTCAGCTTGAGTCAATTTAGTTACAGGAATTCCAGTTAATCTTGCTGCTGTTTCACAAATTTGTTCAGCAGTAACAGCATTACGTAACAATGCATCATTGCCAGATTCTTCTTCGGCAACTCTCATTTCTAATTCTTCAATTTGTTTTTGAACATCTGGAATAGCAAAATATCTCAAATCAGCAGCAGTGGCGGTGTCATGTCTTCTTTCTGCATCTTGTGCTTTAACTTCCAATTCCTCCAACTTTCTCTTTGCCGAGATTAATAAATCATGACCAGCACGTTCTTGTTTGAATCTTTCTTCAAGAGGACGAAGTTGTTCTTCCAATTCAGCTTTCTTCTTCTTGGCAATTTCTAAACGATCTTTAGAAGCTGAATCGGCATCTTTATCTCTTTCCAAAGCATTGATTTCAACTTCAACCAAATGTAATTGTCTTTCAATCGTATCCAATTCTTCTGGTTTCGAGTCTCTAGCAACAGAAACGGTAGCACAAGTTTCATCAACAAGGTCAACAGCAGAATCTGGTAATGCCCTATAGGTTAAGTATCTAGAAGCCAATTGTGCAGCAGTAACCAATGCACTATCCAAGATACGAACCCCATGATGGATTTCATATTTTGGTTGCAAACCTCTTAAGATGGCAACGGTTTCATTCACAGTAGCAGCTGGGACATCAATCTTTTGGAATCTTCTTTCAAATGCACCATCTTTGGCAATGTGCTTACGATATTCAGTAAATGTGGTTGCACCAATACAATGTAATACACCTCTTGCTAACATTGGTTTTAATAAGTTGGCAGCATCTGATTTACCATCACCCATTAACATATGGATTTCATCAATGAATAAAATAATAAACTCCTTGGACTTTTCGATATCACCTAAAACACCTTTAATTCTTTCTTCAAATTCACCTTTGTATTTGGCACCAGCAGTTAACGCACCTAAATCAAGAGCAAATAATCTTGAGTTAGCTAAAATGTTTGGAACATCCCCATCAATGATTCTTTGAGCAACACCTTCAACAATTGATGTTTTACCAACACCGGCATCACCGATAAGGACAGAATTACACTTGGTTCTTCTTGCCAATACTCTAATCACACGTCTAATTTCTTCTTCTCTTCCGATCACAGGATCAATCTTACCTTCTCTAGCCTTCTCCGTTAAATCTTCACAATATTTATGTAAAAATTCATATGAAGAAGAAGCATCAGATTGTCTAGAGTCTATTCTCTGGTTTCCTCTTAATTCAATTGCTTGACTTTTGACAGCTTCAACATTCACACCTGCTTCCTTGAAAATATCTTTTATAGATGGGTCTTCTAATAATGCTAATAATATATGATCTTGTGCAATGTAACTATCTTTTTGTTGTTGTTTAATTTTGCTTGCATTAGTTAACACTTGACCAGTCGAATAACTAGGTCTTATTTCATCTGGAGGAGGGGATTGGGAGGGAAGTCTTACCAAATGTTTATTCACTACTCTTTCAAAAGTAGGCCATTCATATCTTGCCTTTTGAATCAAAGTTTTCAAATATAAAGTTGAACCTTCTTCATCAGTTGGAACAAATGCTGCAAGAAAATGTAATGGCAAAAGTTGAGAATGGGAATTATCTTTTGCAAGTTTTGATGCTCTAGATATAATATTTAAAGCATTGTCTGTATATTGAGTTTCATCCATTGTGGAATATGTAATTGTTATTGTATATCTAAAAAAATTTAATATATAGAGGAAAAGAAATCTTAATCAAAATTTAATTTAAGATTCCAATTGATTAAATATTTATAGATAATTGTAATATCCGGGGAATAGGGAATTAAAAATTAAAAATTGAATGATAATTTATGGTTATAATCTAGAACAATCGCGAACATAATAGAAGCTTCTAGAAAAAAAATATTTCTAACAATTTTTGCTTGGAGTCACATGATTAGCAATTTGATGAACCCCATGGAGCATTCTAGTAGTTTCTTGGTCCTACTGGCACGTTCTACCTGGCAACCATCATATTTATGATTAATTTACTGCATGAGTTTAATTGATCTTAACGGGAGATTTTCCAGATTTTGTATCAAGGAGAATCGGAAAATCCCGGCTATTGATTTCAATTTTTGTGTGGGAAAATGGGTGCAAAATTTTGTTATGCTCTGACAGACTTTATTTTGAAACTATTGGATGTATTTTGATTGCTTGTAAAATACGTAGAATAGACAATGAGTAGTAAACTATTTATATTGATCTTGATACTACATTTAATTACCGCATATCCTCATAGAATAGAGGTCTTTGTGGATCCGAACCTACCACATGAAAACACAGGAGAGCAAGATGTGGTTGTCATTGACCTCTCGGATAACAATAGAGACGAATTTAACCTATCTAACCTTGCATCAGAAGCCAAAACATCCCTCAAGGAGTCTTCGCCAGTCTTGTATGCATTGAAGTCAATCAACGATTTACAAACTAAGCACTTTGACAAGCTCAATAGTAGAAATAATACCTTTTATTTCAAAGAAACAAACAGTGCCTTGTATTTTGACAATGATGCCAAAAAATGGACAGAAATTAAGAAGAACGATCCAGACAATACACCCAAGACGGAATTTTTAGACTGGCTACCTATATCATTTTGTCTAGATTCTAGACTAGGAAGTGGGGGGCTAATTTATAGACAAGTGAAGGTAATGCTTGAAGCAACTTCACAGCTAAATGCTGCCTTGGTTTTGCACACAAACCCCGTTGGGTTTCTAACTGGTTTAGGTGGGATTCTTGGATTCAAGGTGGGTATGCAGAAAGCGGTTTTGATAACTTTCAATTGCTATTTAAACCAAGGAGAACTATGCCAATTACAATATAGACCATCTTATGTGGAGGTACCCAGTCTAACCAAGACGCTCTTCAAATTAAGGAAAAATAAACTAAAAATTCATTCGAAACAAACAATTAAGCCCTTCAGAATGTTTTTAGCAGGGATTCCTGAACATAGATGTTGGGTAACCAAGGATCCAAATGATTTGCAATGCAAAAAGAGAATTGTTAATAATCAGACCATAAGGCTATGAGTTAAATGTGCCTGTTGTGAGATTCTCCTGGGTGATTCATTTTGCTTGCGCTTTTTTGCAGCAATTATTCACCACAATATATATTACATTGAAAACAGTTGGGTGTATTTAGTTTAAGCTAAGCCTGACCGTTCAAAAGACCTATCCATATCTAGGGTTCATATTAGTCCCAAGTCCACATTAACAAGCAAATATTTATGATTTATGTAGATATGCACAATGAAAATATTTTATATCCCAGATACACGACCATCTCGTAAATATATTGCGCTTCTCTGGTTACTTAGCCACAGTAGTGGAGATTGCAAAAGATAATGATCAGAAATATTTAAACCCCAATCAGGATCCAGCCGCGAGTACTGAAATTCAAACACAGAAGCCACAAAAGTAAATCCAGAGATGGGCACCCACTATGAGAATATCTTAGCTAACATTACCCTTGACATAGTTGTCAGAGCAACCAATTTGGTGAAAGCAATGGGTCATAGGTCAGTCACACCAGTTCATTTATTGGCAGTAATTCTCCAGCCCGAACCATTACAAAGCAGTTTATTATTAAACATATTTTCCCAAACCGATCATCGATGGCAGCCCATATTAGTAAGGATCAATGAAAGATTAGAGAGCAATAAAAGTGTGGCTGAAGATTCGGTTGGGTTTGATTCCGATTCATTAGAAGTACGTGATCATGCTACCAGACTTAGTGACTTACAAGGTGATTCATATGTTGGGCAAGATCATTTCATTGCATCGATATTGGATAACAATATCGTTGTGGAGTTATTGGCTCTGGTGAATCTCAATGCAATTATGATCCGGAATTGCGTTTTGGATTTACGTGGAACATTTCGAATTCAAGAGAAGGATGATGATGAACTATTGAATGATGTCAGGATACCCGAAAATGCTAATTTCAATTTCTTGATCAAGCCCGAGTTAGAAGAGGATACCTTGGTGGAAGACCAAGCTAGATCGGGCTACTTCGTCCATGATTATATATCTCGATTTTGTCAGGACTGGACCACGGAGGCCGAGAATAATTTACTTGAAGCTACTTTTGGCCGCACCTTAGAAACAGACAGAATCTTAAGACTTCTATGTAAAAAGAGAAAGTCAATCTTGGTTTTGGTTGGAGAAAAGGGTGTGGGGAAATCCTCAATCGTGAAAGGGGTAACTCAAAGAATAACCACAGGGAATGCACCTTCGATACTCCATTCTGCTGGTATATATTCATTGGAAATAGACGTACTTTGTGCTCATTCTGGAGATCGGAAAGAATTAGTAACTAATCTCCACGAAATACTCTGGGAATTAAATGGAAGGGAAGAGCCGACTGTGTTGTTCATTAAAGATGTACAATTCCTAATCAAGAATCTAGGACGAGATGCTACCTTCTCTATCTTTAATAAGGCTATAGATAATGGTAATTTTCACATTATTCTTTCGGTCGATCAAAGCACACTTGACAATGCTATAAATATTGGACAACAACCTATTGATTCATTCAAAATTATGCAGATCCAGCCAAATACAGTACAAGAGTCCATAAATATCATGCTTGGAGTTATTTCGACAACATATGCCGAATATGAACTTGATATTCTGAATGAAATTGCATTCGAGATGGTCAAACTAGCTGACAAATACATTGCAGATAGGGTACTACCCCACTCAGTCTTAGAATTGCTTGACGAAACCATTGCTTCTGCTGTTATGAAAAGTGTGGATCATAAGCTATCGGTGAAAGAAAAGCAAGGGAACCAATTCAAAAAACGAGATAACTCAGAACAGCTCTGCGACCTAGATGGAAAAATGAAGGGTGGAAGCACACCTTCAGAAGATCATGCAGTGGTTTCGACGTCTCTACTTTCTTCCATAGTAAGGAAGATTGGCAATTTATTCCTCAGTCCGGAGCAGGACTCATTGGAAGCAAGGAAGCTACTTATCACTCATGATGATATACTAGATGCACTTTCGGCATTGCTTGGTATTCCCAAAGAAGATATCTTCACCGACGATGAACCACATGACCTTGAGGTTTTAGAACACAATGTTTTCGGACAAAGTGAAGCAATTATTCAAGTTCTTGATTCGTTAGGATTGGCAAAATCCGGAATATTACCAACCTCGGCGGTGAGACTTTTCTTCTCGGGGCCACCAGGTTGTGGTAAAACTGAACTTGCGATGCAGTTGGCAATATTTTTGAATTCTGATGCTTCATCATTTTTGGAACTTGATTTTCAAGATCCGAACAATAGGATGACTTATTCCAAATTATTGGGACTGGCTTTTCCTTCTAAGGATGATGGGATTTTATGTAGACAATTGAAGAAATTCCCAAACTCGGTTATATTGTTTAGGAATGCTGATCCCATAAGTCATGAGTTACAACAGATTATTATTGAAATATTCAATAATTTGAAAATACAGAACGCAAAGAATATAGCCTTGGATTTTTCAGAAGCAATCCTCATAATCAGTTCAAATATGAAAACTAGTGACGAGTATCTTGATGAGGTCAGAGAATGTGCGGTAAAGGAAAACCAAACGTTTGACAGTGTGATAAAATTTAATGATCTTCACTCCAAAGCCAAAGTCAACATTTTGAAGAAGCTTGTTGAAGAATACACCACCTGCTTTCGATCACAAGGGAAAAATATATCTCTCAGCCTAGACCATTCGGCCGTTAAATTCATGTGTACGGCAAAATACGACGAGAGGCTAGGAGCTAAAGTGTTTCGTAAGGTTTTTGAAGATGAAATAATTCCTCAAGTGAGAGACTTACTTCTCAGACAAAGTATTCACCCAAGTGGAAATATTTCTATTACACTTACTAATGACAAATTTATTGTTTCATAAGTTTGACGTACTTTTAATAGTTTTATTAAACGATGTTCGGTTAAATCAAGGTAGTTGCAACCAGCTATTCTTGTTACAAAATTTGATCAATATACACGACCTTGTATTTTTATATACAGGATCTTTCCGTTTGCGATGCTCTTCAAAATAATCGAAAATTTTTTCTCATCTTTCTATTAGTGACTAATCCTGTTCTTTCTATTATAAACATACTATATTTAACGACTTTAAGTAATCATGGCTACTAGAACTCAATTCGAAAACTCCAATGAAGTTGGTGTCTTTTCCAAATTAACTAATTCATATTGTTTAGTTGCAGTAGGTGGATCTGAAAATTTCTATTCTGCTTTTGAAGCTGAATTAGGGGATGTTGTCCCAATTGTTCATACTACTATTGCTGGTACCCGTATTGTCGGCAGAATGACTGCAGGTAACAGACGTGGGTTATTGGTACCTACTCAAACCACAGACCAAGAATTAATGCATTTAAGAAACTCATTACCAGATTCTGTCAAGATTCAAAGAGTCGAAGAAAGATTATCTGCCTTGGGTAATGTTATTTGCTGTAATGATTATGTTGCATTGGTGCATCCTGATATTGAAAGAGAAACTGAAGAATTAATTGCTGATGTTTTGGGTGTTGAAGTTTTCCGTCAAACTATTGCCGGTAATGTTTTAGTTGGATCATATTGTGCATTATCTAATCAAGGTGGTTTAGTTCATCCTCAAACTCCTATCCAAGATCAAGAAGAATTATCTTCATTATTACAAGTTCCTTTAGTTGCAGGTACTGTGAATAGAGGTTCATCTGTTGTTGGTGCTGGTATGGTTGTTAACGATTGGTTGGCTGTTACTGGGTTAGACACTACTGCCCCAGAATTATCAGTTATTGAATCTATTTTCAGATTGCAAGATGCTCAACCTGATGCCATTGGTGGAAACTTAAGAGATACCTTGATTGAAACTTATTCATAGACAATTTTCTACAAGATGAAAGAGTAAGTGTATAAAACACCGAACTTGAAGCGCCATACGGGCAATTTGCACTGCATATTGCGTAATCATAGACGAATGGAAATATCTAAGAGTATTTAATTGCATATATAAATGTGAGGGTTATATAAATATAAAGTCCTCGCTTTACAGGGTTTAGTTCAAATAGTTTTCTTTTTAATGGGTAAGGTATCCGGTATTATTAATAAATTCTTTTGTTTCTGGCTATCATATAAAACATATTGAGAAGATAAGGAAAGGAGATTAGAGAATGCAATTGGCTCGAATCTGATGCATGTATTGAAGGATAGTTCTATTCCCCCATTAAACGTAGATCCGCCGTCACGGCACCCCCTATCCTCCTCCCTTCAATATTGAAAGAATATTGTTCCATTTATAACTATTTAACCAGAGTGTTTTTGAGTGTCATGTGATGCTTGTTATAAACCTTTTAGATTTTAAATTTTATTTATACTCCTCTGTTATTGTAATAGAAGAATAAGCTTCATTCTTTACTATTCAGGCCTACTCTGTACTTAATTTCCTTAATTGGCAAGGCTCCCACATCCAACATTTTTTTTTTTTCACAGGCGCGACTTTTCAATTCGGACGGTGTCGGGATCTTTCTCATAAAATTCTGGCAGCACCACCAGCTTTTGGTTACACAACATTATTCAACTTAAGACACATCTGCTAATCAAATCGTTGGTATACAAATGGATTTCTTAGGAATAGCTCGTGGATCCATACGATCTGAAGCTCTTCAGAAATTGGCTCAGTTGACAGTAGAACATGACCCACAGTATCTTAAGGAAATTAGTACAGGTATTCAAAAAGATGATTTTGCTAAATTAATATCTTCAACTCCAAAGGAATACAATCCGAAATCAGTTATGAAATTATCAAAAGTTCCCATTACACTTAAGGAATATGAAGTTTTGATTGCCCTTTGTGATGCAACAAGCTGTGATGATTTTAAATCTGATGATCAAGTTAAGGTATTGATTGATAAATTTAAAGCTTACTTACTTGAATTACCAAATCAGAAGTTTTCATATAATATTGTTAGAAATGCTGTTTCGGTTTCACCTTGGACGTTGTTAGGTGAGAAATTGACAGCTGGGTTGATTCATCTTGCTTACCAAAATAAAAGAAAATACATTGGTGATGTGATTGAAATATTCCATAAATTTATTGAAACTTTCTTTTACGACTTTGATCATCAATTACCTAACTACTTAACTTTGTTGGGTATTTTGGAAGGATTATCCAAGAATGCAAAATTCTTGAGTTATAATGCCAGTGCATTCAAAATTTTCCATAGTTTAGATTCATGTATTGATAATTTTGAGTTTTTACACGTTGTTGAAGATTACACGTTTAACCTTTATGAAAACAAACCAGCTGTCTATTCTGCTATGCTTGATCGTGAATATGCAGTTAATCTCGCACCTATTCTGTACCTTGAAAGTTTGAGTAGATTGATGTGTGCTATTATTAGAGGGATAATTGGTACCAGTGATGCATCTTTATTGCAATACATCTTGGAAAAAGTGGCTTCCAGATACGATGAAGACCTGCAAGTTGGTAGTGGAACTATTACAGAAAATAAAGGAATTTTCAATATTCAGGGATTAGATTTCTCAAAATACCATATGGAATTGATCAAGACCTTAACCGACTTAGCTTTGCAAAAATTAGAGTTTTTAGATCGTGGTGAAACATGTATTGTCTATTCAAGTTTCAATCGTCTTAAATTAGGCTACTTGGCCAAAAGTCACAGTTTGCAAGTTTTGAGTTGTGGAATGTTTACTGATAACTGGGATCTTAGAACTTCTAGACGTTTGTTCAAGACTTGTATTGGAATAAAGGAGGTTATGTTAGATCCTGATTTAGGTTTGACTGTTTTCCAATTTGGTTCATTATTAGTCTTTAAAGATGTATCAGTTGGTCCTCAATTAACTAGTGCATTCTCTTCTGTTGTTGCCAATCCAAAATTAAATTCAAAGTATTGTTTAGAAGTTTCCAAGAGTGTCGGTTTAAGTAGTAAGGTATTACCACAAGATTCAGTGGTCACTACTATCTATTCATTAACTAATCTTTTGTTTGTAGGCTATGATGGTTATCAACTTCAAACCAAGAAGCCAAGATCTAAAGGAAATGATATGTATTCCTTAAATTCTAAAAATCCTTCAATGTCAACCTTCCTGATTAAAGGAGGTGCCGGTGAATTCGATGAAACTGACTATCAAAAAGTGTGTGAAAATGCAGTTACTGCAATCATTGAAGTTTCCCAAGCTTGTAATGACGAAACTGTTCCCGCCTTAGCAGTTACCATTTTAGCTCAAAAGGTTTCAAGAATTAACTCATCTATAGGTCCATTGATTCTTCGTGGTTTATCATCCTGTGCTCCATTTTTGCCTCGTCGTGAGTTTATCAATTTGGTTAGATTGTTAACTAGATTAGCTGCAGAATCTTTAGAACAAAAGAATGTTATTTTATTGGCTGCCTTACAAGAAGGATTGGTTTCGCTCGCTAAGAAGCTTAAAGGAAACCGTAGATTATTCCCGGATTATTTAAAGGAATTGTTACAAGTTATCATTAGTAAAGGAGATGTTCAAAAGTTAGAACAACATCGTTCACATACTGAAATCAATGAAATTGGAGATCAAATTGCCATCTTTTTGAAGCCATTGGCAGCTTTATTACCTGATGTTCATTTAGGAGAGGCACCATTAAAACTCACCAGCACGGAAATTGTCAATCTTTTCAGAAATATATGGTTCAATATGGTTGTTCATGGATATAATATTAACTCCCAAAATGCTCAAACTTACAAGGCAGAATTAGAAAGAATTGCATATAATACTCCACCTTTGGCATCTGAATTATCTTGGGATAGAACTGAAACTTCATTTGAATTAAATACTGTTTTACGTAGAGGATCATCAAATCACAATGTTAAAGATCATCGTCATTATCTTGGAGATATTTTTGAAGTTCATCGTAACATGTCATATCCTAAACTTATGTTTTTATCTGCAACAGCATTTGTTGAATCGTTGAGAGTTCGTAGCGGAGAATGTTCAACAATTTTGAAATATTATTCTGATCCTTCTGTCAAGACCGGTGGTGCGGATAAATACATTGGTTATATTGCATTTAAAATTGTGAAAGATTATATTCAATTAATTAATACTGGTGCAAATAAACAATTTAGTTCTGATCATATTGCTGAGCAATTAACCAATATGTTAATCTTATGTTGTAATCCTTTGGAGAACATGCAAGATCTGGCTTTACAATGTTGTGATTTATTAATTAATAAAGTTTCCAGTTCCTTATGCCATAAACGAAGCTTGTTTGCCTTATTTGATTTGCTTACTTTATTGTTTGATTCGTTAGTGGATGCAGATACTAATCAATATGAACCAACTACCGAATTTGTGGCGCGTTGCACTGGAATCAAATTATTAGTTTCTGATGATTACAAATGGAGAAGTGCAACTTTGAATCGTTTCCATGACAAGGCAAAATATTGGATGAAGTTATTATTGTATAAATGTAATATCGATGTCAAATCCTTAGTTCAATCTTACGTTAGTCAGAATCAAGGTATTACATCCCAGTTTGAGTCACCAGTTAAGTTTGGTACTTCATTTGCCTTAGAAATGGCTGGTGGTATTTCAACTAATGATCGTGAATTATCGGCCATTTCCTTATATGACCCACATCAATTGAACACCTTACCAAATATTGTTTCCCAATTATCCTGGAGAAATTACTTTGTTGCAGATTTAGTTGATAAAATCCCATTACGTACCACTGAAGAAACTGATGTTGCACTTATGGCCATTCGTGATAAGATTTACCACACTAAGGAAAATTTGGAATCAAAATCAAACGATGAAATCATTGCATTAATTATCGAAATTGCTGGGTTAACATTATGTAGTAAAGTGAATTGTGGAGAACTTATTAGATATCTTGTTGAATGCCCCTTCAACAAATTTGATCCTCAAATCATGAACGTTGCAAGTGCAGTTTGGCTCGCCATAATGAAAGATCGTACTGAATTATCTGTATTACTTTTGAGTGAATTAGCTAAGAAATGGACAGAATCAATCGAATTTTCACTTGGATTATTTTCGCAATCACTTGATTTGAATCAAGCCGAATTTGAAAAGATGGAATATGCAGCTACTGATTCGGACCAAGTGAACCGGATGGCAAATATAGTCGATGCTACTTTTGGACCTCATTTACAAATTATTAAATTGTTTAGTTCTAGTTTTGAAGCTACTTTGAATCAAAGTGATCATTTATTGAAGATGTTTACTCAATTTGTTGAGATTGGTTTGAAGAATTTGAAATATGCAAGTTATCATCCAATGTCTCGCGTTGCTCGATTTGAATTGATTAGATTTGCTTTCGAGGTTTTGAATTATCATTTTAGATTAGGTAGTAGAAGTACTGGATATTTGACTGAATTAGTTTTAGATGCTTCGTTAACTTGGTTTAGACAAAGGGCTACTTTTCCATTTGGACGTAATGTACTTAAATTCAAAAATGAATTATCCTTATTAAGAGATGTGGCAAGATTAACTTCCCATTTGAATGTTAAAGCTGATCTTGAAATGAAAAAGAAAGTATTATTATTCTTCCTTGATGACGAAATCTACAAGTTTAATGTTTGGTTGAATTGTTTAGACCCTCAAGAAACTAAAGGTATATTCGCCACAGAACCAATCAGCACAATCCATATCACAAAGGCATATGAATATGATCCTATGCTTGCTATCAACTTATCACTTCGTTATAAGATTAGGAATTTGGATGAGACCTTACAAAAACTCATTGCCAAGAATCCATTACCTTGTCTTCCATACCCTGATGCAATTCAATATCTTATTGGTATAAATGCAGGTACGAATATGCCATCACATCATTTATTATTCTGGGAATGTCTTTCACCAATCGATTCAATTACATTATTCTTGCCTCCATTTGGTGGAAACCCATTTATTTTACAATACACAATGAGGTCAATTGAGAGTCATGATGTCAATAAGACATTCTTCTATGTTCCACAAATTGTCCAATCCTTGAGATTTGATGTGAAGGGATATGTTGAAAGATTTATTTTAGAAACCGCTAAAGTCAGTCAATTATTTGCCCATCAAATTATATGGAACATGTTAGCCAACAGTTACAAAGATGATAACGGGACCATTCCAGATGATTTAAAGCCTAGATTAGATGATATGCAAGCTAAAATGATGGCTGAGTTTACTGACAGTGATTTAGCATTCTATCGCAAGGAATTCAAATTCTTTAATGAAGTAACCAGTATCTCTGGTAAATTGAAACCATATATTAAGAAATCCAAAGCAGAAAAGAAGGAGAAGATTGATGAAGAAATGGCATTGATCAAGGTTGAACCTGGAGTATATTTACCTTCAAACCCAGATGGAGTTGTGATTGATATCAATAGGAAATCGGGTAAACCATTACAATCACATGCAAAAGCTCCTTTTATGGCTACATTCAGAATCAAAAAAGAGATTGTCAATAAGTTTGGTGAGGCAAGTGTTATTGAAAAATGGCAAAGTGCAATTTTCAAAGTTGGTGATGATTGTAGACAAGATGTCTTGGCATTACAATTGATTTCTATATTTGGATCAATTTGGAGTACGGCTGGATTGGATTTATATGTTTTTCCATATCGAGTCACTGCTACAGCTCCAGGATGTGGTGTGATTGATGTGTTACCTAATGCTACCTCTCGTGATATGTTGGGTCGTGAAGCTGTGAATGGATTATATGAATATTTCATTAGTAAATTTGGAGGTGAAAATTCGATTGAATTTCAGAGAGCTAGAAACAATTTAGTTAAATCATTGGCAGCATATCTGATTATTTCATATTTATTACAATTTAAGGATCGTCATAATGGGAATATTATGTATGATGAACAAGGACATTGTTTACATATTGATTTTGGATTCTGTTTTGATATTGTACCTGGTGGAGTTAAATTTGAAGTTGCACCATTCAAATTAACTAAAGAAATGGTGATGGTATTGGGAGGAAGTGATGAAACTCAAGCGTTTAAATGGTTTGAAGAATTATGTATTAAAGGTTATTTGGCATGTCGTCCACATATGGAAACTATTGTTAGGACAGTTACTCCAATGTTGGAAAGTGGTTTACCTTGTTTTAAGGATACAACTATTAAGAATCTTAGACTGAGATTTGTTCCTGGTAAATCAGAACGTCAAGCTCTGGTTCATTTTAGAAAATTGATCAGGAAAGCTATGGAAAGTTTCTATACTACTGGATATGATGAATTCCAAAGAATTACTAATGGAATTCCATACTAGTAAGAGTGTTTACGAGTGGTTTGTGATTTATACTTTGTTTAGATGTAGAGAGAAATATAAATAGTGACTTTTTTTTGTTTTAAATGATTTTTCGTAGCACTAGTAAGCTTTAACCCACTCTATATTTGTATGGTTGGGTTATTTAAAAAGTGGATGTGTGTCACAATTTAAACTACGAAGATTTAAATGTGTATATGCAGGCGTAAAGGGAAAGTGCTTCACTTAATCTTTACTCTCTGATGGCGTATATGTAATGGTGCTGATATTGGGGGATATGTGATAAATGTAGATGATGTCGAAGTAGTTAATTCGCCACTAACGGCCTAACCATACCGATGGTCAGACTTAAGACTTTTGATATTTGCTCTCTTATTAAATCGTTCGAAACGTAATTTATTGATAATAAACAAAACTATAAAAACATACAAAATATAAGAAATACAACTTAATAAATACAAAGCACAGTAAAACTAATTAACACCAATTTACTGTATTTGCAATACAATTCTAATTCACAATATTATTTAAAACAAAACTTATGACAATGGCATCTTTATTCATTTAGCTTAAATTGCCATAATTCCAAATTAACGACTTTCATGTCGTGATGTCGCAAACTGACTTTTATATAGACAAATAACGTAAGTTTAGTCAATACTGCGACAATGTGTTGCCATGCTCTAACTGGGAATTTCGGATCATAAGTGGGAAACGGCAACGTTGCACCCGGAAGGAAACTATTGGGAATATCTCCTTCCTCGTAAATATTTTGAATGAATTCCACATAAAGCGCAGAAATTGTACTAGAACAATAACTAAAGTTCTTTCTTTCAACTAGATTAAATGGATTAATCAGTGTGTAGTAGATTTATAAATGTGGAAAATGTAACCTTAACTAGTAATTTTTTGGTGGTACCTAACCATAATTGGATTACATAATCAGAATTGTTAAAAATGACGTAATTTTTTCAGTCACTCAGCCCCTAACTAAAAATTCTAAAAAAATTCTAAAAATAAATTCGTTTTTTATATGGTCGACACTTGATACTGTCGAACGCAATTGTCTTTGTGTTCCAGGATTAGATCTCTGCCATGTAGGCAAATTGCTGCCAAGAATTCGTTCCTACTAACTTATTTTGTTTCTCTAACAATTTAATGTTTCAGTTGATCCACTAGGGAACACGAGTGATGCCTTGGCACTTCTCTAGGAGACGGTCGTGTTTCGTGTCTTTTGTACACGTCAAACGCGGTCCTCCTTGATGCAACAGTGCTTATCCGTAATACAATTTTTTAAAGAACACTTTATACGATCATATGCAAGTGATATTCGTACTTCTACCTCGATGTAGCATAAGGTTCTATAGGAAAATATATCTAAAGAAAAATAGACTGATAAGATTAAAAATATTCTATAAATAGAACAAAAAAGGGATGACCGGTGATGTTATTATTTACTGAAAACTGCCTTACGTCAATTTCTTTTTGGCTTAATATAATCCTCTCGAGAGGAATACAAGGCTGTAGAGAGAATGATGAAATTGGTCATTCCTAATAACATGTCTAGCTTTCTTTCTTTCTTTCTCTGCATATATAAATACCTATCAAAGAGTGTATCAGTTTCATATACATCCCCCCCCTTTGAGAGTTTTAAAACAACAAAAATTTTTTTCCATTCCATTCGCTATAAACGCTTTAAAAATTTAATCATTTTTTTTACAGAGAGAGAGAACCAACCAAAAAAACAAAAGTTACAAAATTTAAACAAAATCTCAGATTTTCAATAAAAATCTTAACAAACAACCAACCAAACGATTTTTTTCCCTTTCCTTTNTACAAAATTTAAACAAAATCTCAGATTTTCAATAAAAATCTTAACAAACAACCAACCAAACGATTTTTTTCCCTTTCCTTTCTTTCTTCTTTAAAGTTGTCAAATAAAATTGAAAGATAACCAATTCCAAAGTTTCTTATCGGATACTTGATTATCAATATATAGACAGAGACATAGAGAGACTACTTAGCTTATATTATTCGTACAACAAATCAGACTGTCTAATTAATT